ATGCAGTTGTAGCCAAACTCTAAATTGGATAACAGATTGTCAAGTTACTGGGGTAATGTTATTATAGCAGCAACTAGTGTTATTGATTTATAATTCACACACAACAAGACCAATAAATAAAAGAGGCATCTCTGAATTTAATGAATTACATATTTTCAAGAAATTTCCAACTATGAACCAAATTATAGGTTGTATCTTTTTCCTGTTAAGGGCTCTGGGGTTTGTGTATAAATCCCTGATAATAAAGCACCCTAGAATCTACCACCACCATAGTGAGTGAGTGAGTGAGTTTGGGTTTACACCACTTTTAGCAATATTCCAGCAATATCACGGCGAGGGGACACCAGAAATGAGCTTCACACATTGTACCCACCACCACCATAAGGACAGTGAGTAGAGACATTGTCAAATATAACGGACGACTTTGTCAAAAGTATAACACTGAACTGTTTTTCAGTGGGACAAAACTATTCACACATTTATGGAATTTAAACTCTTAATTACATTGATGAAAAATTCTACATGTACTGGAGCAAAGAAAAGTATGCATTCAAGAGTTCCAATTTCCATACACTTGCAAGTATGTGCTGAAACTCAATCAAGAAATTAAGTTTCATGGTTGACGGTCACCTTTATGTTGAAATTTCATCATATCAATATGACTGATACGGTTATATCCCAAAGCTTCTACTTCCCAAAACTTCCACATCCCAATACTACCACACATTGTTAAAACAACAACTCCTCATCACCCATTTTTTAGGTAACTTCTTTGAGTGGCATTTAGAAGTTGGGAAGTACAATATATAACAAACTTTATGGATAACAAGTTCTTTTTATTCGTGAGTGCGACGTTTCGTTACAGATTCTTGTACCGTTGTCAAGCTTTAATGGAGGGGAAGAATATACATATGCTTTGATGTGGTCGGAAACGGCTGATTTGCTGTCAGAATTGGTAACAGAGGTCTGATGTTCTTTCACTCGGGTGTTGATGGGTCGGGACATTTCGCCTATGTAGCTCTGCCCACAATCACAGTTTATTTTGTAGATGACACATTTTGGGTTGATGTTCTTGACAGTGGCTGGTTTTCTTCCATTGGCATGGAGAAAATCATTATACGGTTTTTCACAATACTGCCCAGCACCTTACCCAAGTACTCTCTCCTTTAGATAAATCTGCTAACTCCTTCATCAACGACTCAACAGACTTCTGCAGCAAGATCCATGACATCTCCAATCCTGGTCCCATCATCAGCTCCGATGTTGTGGACCTATTTACAAATGTACCTAGAGAAGAAGCTCTCCAAGCCTTACACCACAGAATTGACAAACTTCAACAACCCCTCAACACCAGCCTCTCAACCGACTCCATCATTAGTCTCACCTCAGCCTGCATCAACTCCACTTACTTCACCTGGGGGTCGAGATCTATGAACAAATTCATGGACTTCCCATGGGTTCCCCCTTATCCCCCATCCTAACCGAAATTTACACGGACCTGGAAGATAAAGCACTAAATACTGCACCCTTCAAACCTACGTGTTGGTATCGCAAAGTGGATGACACCTTCGTCATCCTCCAACCTCAGCAAGATCCCACTCAGCTTCTGACTCATCTCAACAACCAACATCCCCGCATCAAGTTTACCATGAAACCGAGCAGAACCAGCAACTACCTTTCCTTGACGTCCTTGTGTCCCATACCACCTGCAACCAACTCCAGGCCACTGTATATAGAAAACCTACCCATACGGATCAGTACATCCACTACAACTCCAATCATCCACCTAAAGTTAAGACCGGCATCATTTCCACATTAACCAGAAGGGCCAAGAACATCTGTTCAACTAAATTACAAGATGAAATCGAACACCTCAAGAAAGTCTTCGTAGAACTTAACCACTTTCCACCCCAAATAGTCAACAGAACCATTGCTGCAACCCTGTCACCTCCTACCAAAAGACCCAAACCAGATTCAGCCCCCATCAAGATATCCATCCCCTACATTGGCAAACCGTCACATCAAATCAGCCGTCTCCTAAAACAACAAGCTGCGTCCTCCAACTCTAACATTCTTCATGCCAATGGAAGAAAACCAGCCACCGTCAAGAACAACGACCCAAAATGTGTCATCTTCTGTGGCGTAAGGCTTGGAGAGCTTCTTCTCTAGGTACATTTGTAAATAGGTCCACAACATCGGAGCTGATGATGGGACCAGGATTGGAGATGTCACGGATCTTGCTGCAGAAGTCTGTTGAGTCGTTGATGAAGGAGTTAGCAGATTTATCTAAAGGAGAGAGTACTTGGGTAAGGTGCTGGGCAGTATTGTAAAACACCGTATAATGATTTTCTCCATGCCAATGGAAGAAAACCAGCCACTGTCAAGAACGACCCAAAATGTGTCATCTACAAAATTAAAACTGTGATTGTGGGCAGAGCTACATAGGCGAAACGTTCGACCCATCAACACTCGAGTGAAAGAACATCAGACCTCTGTTACCAATTCCGACAGCAAATCAGCCATTTCCGACCACATCAAAGCATGCCCCAATCATCATATAGAGTGGTGTGACATCACCATTCTCGCTAACAAACAGACTTCACTGAATGCAAGCTCACCGAAGCCATCCACATCAAACACGAAAACCCCACCATCCACAGAGACCAAGGATACTTCATTCCATCCGCTTATGATGCTCTCATCCACCAAGCCCAATCTACTGTATAAACTCTGCTGTATAAACATCTCATTACTATTTGTACATCATTGGCTTCCACCCCTTCTTTTGTCTACCCTCTGGCTTCATCAGCTTACTGCCTAGCCAATTATGTTAATTATGTTTTTTTCTTTGTTACATTGTTACATCCAGTATATATATACTTCCCCCTTCTTCATGTTCCATTAATGCTTGACAACGGTACAAGAATCTGTATCGAAATGTCGCACTCACGAATAAAAGGAAGTTGTTATCCATAAAGTCTGTTCTATACCTTTTTAGGTAATAGGATACCCCAGGAAGTGCACTGAACTGAAACAACAGGTTGTGATGTGAAGCTATGGATTAAGATTGACAAGAGTGTATTTCAATCACCGGACGACGCCTATATTGGATTTGTTTACATTCCACCACAAGGTTCTCAATATCATAACAATGACAGTTTCTATAACCTCGAAAGTGAAGTCACTAAATATTTATCTTATTTAAGTAATGTGGTTTATCATATATCTGGTATAATCAGAATTGTATTAATAAGAATTGGCTCCTCTGTAAAGGTGGACAAATTCTAACAGATCAGTTTATAAAACAATGGCAATATGAAAAAATCTTTATCGTTTAAAGGTAAAACATTTGATTGGTGCTGAAGAGTTTCACAACCTCTTTTGAAGTTTACAACTGGTAATACTAGGCTTCCTGTTGAAGTAGGACGCTGGCATCTTGTGCCTTTAAATGACCGAAAATGTTTGATGTACAACTCCGGTGAAGTTGGTGATGAGTACCACTATATTTTTTAGTGTAATCTTTATTAGCAGATAGAAACAAGTTAGTTTATAAGTTACATATATATATATATATACCGATTTTGTTCCTGTCATCCTAACAAATCCAGCTACTTTTGTCTCTTTCTCTCTCTCTTTCTCTATCTATCTATCTATCTATCTATCTAATTGATAACTGGATTGGCTGGTCCAGACTCGATTATTTACGTACCGCCGCCATATAGCTGGAATATTGCTTAGTGCGTCATAAAACAAAACTCATTCACTTCTTTGAAGCATACATTCCGTCTTACAAATATCATCCCACCTTGCATAGGAGCTTCTAAAACCAATTTACTCTAAAACTGGTTAACTAAGAGTGAGTGACTGAGTGAATGAGTTTAGTTCAACACTGCACTCAGCAATATTCCAGCTATATGGTGGCGGTCTGTAAATAATCAAGTCTGGACCAGACAATCCACTGGTGAACAGTATGAGCATCAATCTATGCAGTTGGGATACAATGACATGTGTCAGCCAAGTCAGCGAGCCCGACCATCCATTCCCATTAGTCTCATCTTACAACAAGCATGGGTTGCTGAAGATCAATTCTAACCCGGATCTTCACAGGCCTTGTTAACTGTGAGCAATAATTCATTGTGTGTCATAAACATGAGCATATTCTGCACAAACTGTGATACAGTTAACTCAATGTCTGCCACCTGCAGGATATGTTTGCATTACCAAGATTGTGTAGATGAAAAATATCTGATGTCATGGTTTCAGTCAGCTAATTCTGTTACAATCAGGCTTCCACAAACACTCACACACAAACATCTTGATGCTACTGATATGTCAAGCACAGTTTTTACTATTTATGAATGAATGAGCTAGTACAGTATGATGCTACTTTTCACTAAATGTCTGCCATTTATCATTAGATGATGAGAATGGGCTGACAAGTTGTCTTTCTGTGTATGCAACGTGACAATGTCACAGCTTCTAGTAACCTCCCCCATTCTAGGCTACCAAGTATCAATAACTCCCCACCCACCCCAGCAACCCAATATCCCCAAAGTTACCCACCCCTCAGCTACCTTACTCCCAGTAACCCCACCCCTCTGTAGCTTCTGCTCACCCGCTAGACACCCACTATGACAACCCTTTTGTTCCAGTCACCCCACCAAATCCAGCTACTCCACCCCTCAGCTACCTTACTTCCAGTAACCCCACCCCTCTATAGCTTCTGCTCACCCACCAGACACCCATTACGGCTACCCTATTTGTTCCAGCCACCCCACCAAATCCAGCTACTCAACCCCTCAGCTACCTTACTCCCAGTAACCCCACTCCTCTATAGCTTCTGCTCACCCACCAGACACCCACAACGGCTACCCTATTTGTTTCAGCCACCCCACCAAATCCAGCTACTCCACCCCTCAGCTACCTTACTTCCAGTAACCCCACCCCTCTGTAGCTTACTCCACCCCACAGCTAACCCTTTGTTCTTGTCATCCCACCAAATCCAGCTACTCCACCCCTCAGCTACCTTACTTCCAGTCACCCCATCAAATCCAGCTACTCAACCCCTCAGCTACCTTACTTCCAGTCACCCCACCAAATCCAGCTACTCAACCCCTCAGCTACCTTACTTCCAGTCACCCCACCAAATCCAGCTACTCCACCCCTCAGCAACCTTACTTCCAGTAACCCCACCCCTCTGTAGCTTCTGCTCACCCGCTAGACACCCACTATAACAACCCTTTTGTTCCAGTCACCCCACCAAATCCAGCGGCTCCACCCCTCAGCTACCTTACTTCCAGTAACCCCACCCCTCTATAGCTTCTGCTCACCTGCTAGACACCCACTATAACAACCCTTTTGTTCCAGTCACCCCACCAAATCCAGCTACTCCACCCCTCAGCTACCTTCTGGAGGACAAGACGTTCTAAAGACCCACTTCTGCTGGCAGGGAGTTGTGGAGATTCACTTCTGTTGATTGTTCCAGGATCTGCCATATTGGCAGACAAGTCTCGACTTGGTATTTGCCCCAATCCATCATCAAGATTGAAGGACTCACGTTCTGAAAAGGAAGCCACAACATGCTCTGTAGTTCACAACATTGAGTAGAGTGCACTAATCACCACTACCAGATTACAGGTTGGATACATGTCATATCCAGATCCCTGTTCAACAAAACAGTCCCACAGCTACAACTGTAATTAGTACAAGCTTGAGGGTGACCACTACCTAAGCACTGTGATCGTTTTGTTGAACAAGGCTCAAAATATCATTCAATGAGTGAGTGAGTTTTAGTTTTACACCACTTTCAGCAATATTCCAGCAATATCACTGTGGGGGAGACCAGAAACGGGCTTCACACATTGTACCCATGTTGGAAATCGAACCTGGGTCTTTGCCGTGACGAGCAGTGAACACTTGAACCACTAGGCTACCCCACTGGCCCTGTTATTCAATGAACATGGTGTAATCTAGGCTGAATAACATGGTTTCAACTCAACTCTCTTTACTCTTTAATAATTACTGAAAAAATAATTTTAATATGTTTCCAACCTGTAATCTGATGGTAACTGCACTAATAAAGACAAAAACATTTGGGTTGACTTTGGCACTTTAATCAGCACAATTTGACAAAATTTATAAAATGTAACAATCATATATGAAACAAATTTCATAAGTCACAGATAACATCTTTGGCTGATTGCATATCAGTTACAGGTAAGAACATATAATACTGATGTCATGGCAACTGCACTTGATGATAACGCAATCACTGTGGGACGACATGAAATACTGATTATGTCAATATTAAAATCATGATTACTGTTGATGAGATCAACTGATTTGTGTAAAAATTATGCAAATGATAATCAAATAACATTCAAAAGAAAAATCACAGGTGACAATAAGTCTTTGGAGCAAAAAAATCACTATGTAAAATTTGGCATATATATGACCCATTAATGCAAAATGGCAGGACATTGTTATTGATACATTATTATGAAATCATTCATTGTAGTGATACACATATATAACATTGGCATATAATCTGTATATACTACCATTCGATAAGACATTGAACACATTCTGTGAGCAAATTGTGTAGAACAATATGTGACCTAACTGCATGGCAAAATGCGCCTACACGACAACAACTGCTTGCTGTGCATCTAACTGAAGCAAGATTTATCATTTGGACACAACAGGTATGTTTAATTATACACTCCACACAGATAAAAACATTTCATTGTTTACAGACACACAATGACAGCTGTTATCTAACTAAAACATTATGTAACAATATGACTGATGCAGAGCATCGAACCACCACCATCCTTCCTTTGGTAGCAAGCACTGTTTATTATATTCTAAAATCACTGGGACTTGAATTAAAATTGATGTGAGTTTGGGCAATTTCGAGTTTGGAGGCATTCATTATTTTCTTGAATAATGTTCCAGAAAAGAAAGTGAGAAACAGATATGACTTTGGATGAATTCTGACCCTAGTATAATGGCGGCCAATGAGACCTCGATGTCCACGTGACACATGTTCATGTGATCTCGCATCCTCATTTACCAGAAACCTCGATACCTACGTGACCCTCATTAACAGAAGACCTTGAATGCCAGGTAACCTCATTAACCAGTCATCTTGATATACCTCATTAACAGAAGACCTTTCATTAACAGATAGACCCTCATTGAATGCCAGGTAACATCATTAACCAGTCATCTTGATACCTACGTGACCCTCATTAACAGAAGACCTTGAATGCCAGGTAACATCATTAACCAGTCATCTTGATACCTACGTGACCCTCATTAACAGAAGACCTTGAATGCCAGGTAACCTCATTAACCAGTCATCTTGATACCCTCATTAACTCGACCTTGAATGCCAGGTAATGCCCCTCATTAACAGAAGACCTCATTAACAGAAGAATGCCAGGTAACATCATTAACCAGTCATCTTGATACCTACGTGACCCTCATTAACAGAAGACCTTGAATGCCAGGTAACATCATTAATCAGTCATCTTGATACCTACGTGACCCTCATTAACAGAAGACCTTGAATGCCAGGTAACCTCATTAATCAGTCATCTTGATACCCTGACCCTCGTGACCCTCATTAACAGACCCTCATTAACAGAAGACCTTGAATGCCAGGTAACCTCATTAACCAGTCATCTTGATACCTCGTGACCCTCATTAACAGTAGACCTTGAATGCCAGGTAACCTCATTAACCAGTCATCTTGATACCTCACGTGACCCTCATTAACAGAAGACCATGAATGCCAGGTAACATCATTAATCAGTCATCTTGATACCTACGTGACCCTCATTAGACAGAATGCCAGGTAACCTCATCAACCAGTCACCTACGTGACCCTCATTAACAGAAGACCTTGAATGCCAGGTAACATCATTAATCAGTCATCTTGATACCCTCGTGACCCTCATTAACAGAAGACCTTGAATGCCAGGTAACATCATTAACCAGTCATCTTGATACCTACGTGACCCTCATTAACAGAAGACCTTGAATGCCAGGTAACATCATTAACCAGTCATCTTGATACCTCACGTGACCCTCACGACCTTGATGCCAGGTAACATCATTCATTAACAGAAGACCCTTGACCCTCCAGGTAACATCATTAATCAGTCATCTTGATACCCACGTGACCCTCATTAACAGAAGACCTTGAATGCCAGGTAACATCATTAACCAGTCATCTTGATACCTACGTGACCCTCATTAACAGAAGACCTTGAATGCCAGGTAACATCATTAACCAGTCATCTTGATACCTACGTGACCTTCATTAACAGAAGACCTTGAATGCCAGGTAACATCATCAACCAGTCATCTTGATACCTACGTGACCCTCATTAACAGAAGACCTTGAATGCCAGGTAACCTCATCAACCAGTCATCTTGATACCTACGTGACCCTCATTAACAGAAGACCATGAATGCCAGGTAACATCATTAATCAGTCATCTTGATACCTACGTGACCCTCATTAACAGAAGACCATGAATGCCAGGTAACATCATTAACCAGTCATCTTGATACCTACGTGACCCTCATTAACAGAAGACCTTGAATGCCAGGTAACATCATTAACCAGTCATCTTGATACCTACATGACCCTCATTAACAGAAGACCTTGAATGCCAGGTAACATCATTAACCAGTCATCTTGATACCTACGTGACCCTCATTAACAGAAGACCTTGAATGCCAGGTAACATCATTAACCAGTCATCTTGATACCTACGTGACCCTCATTAACAGAAGACCTTGAATGCCAGGTAACCTCATTAACCAGTCATCTTGATACCTACGTGACCCTCATTAACAGAAGACCTTGAATGCCAGGTAACCTCATTAACCAGTCATCTTGATACCTACGTGACCCTCATTAACAGAAGACCTTGAATGCCAGGTAACCTCATTAACCAGTCATCTTGATACCTACGTGACCCTCACAAAGGGACCTTGACACCAAGGGGAACTACATGGCATGGTAGATGCTTATATTTCATTAATTGTCAAACTGATTATAACATTTCATGTAAGTTAAGATGTCAGAAAACATAGATGCAAACAGAGAGGTCCTGACAGGTAGAATCTTGTCGCAAAATGATTTTGGGGAACCTCAGAATAATCCTATAGTGTTCATACTTTTTCTTACTGACAGAAATGCAAGACTGCCATTTTAATACAAAATATTATACTGTAAGAGTATCAGAAGTACTTGGTAGGTTAGCACAAGAAGTAAGCATGTATAGTTAACATAAGACAGTAACTGAGGAAAGCTAACAGGGCCCTGAACAGTTGCTTGTATAGAAGTCTACAACACAGTTCATCAAGTGCACTCTGTAGACAAGTACGATTTGTACAGAAGGCCAGGTCATGGATTACAGCTTCCTGCTGCTTACAACCCACTTCCTTGCTGGGATCGGATCTCGGGCAGATACAGAGCTGAATCTGATACACTGAGTCATCAGTAGTATAATCCAGGCCAGTCCTTTAAGTGGTGACTAAACCTGGCTTTATAGAGTATTGCCATGCCACTGCTTCAGCTAGAAGATACATGAACTTGAATCTGACACCCTTCAGTAAAGTTTGTCTCCCATGTAACAAGATGACAGAAACATTTATCATCACATGAAAACAAACTCAGAGCTTTCTTAGTGGAATAAAAATGGGTGACACTTGAAGTTGAATTTCACATCCATCTGAAATTCAGATGTATGAGAGGAAATAGTCTTTTTGAAGGAATACCACACATGATTTCAGTATTAGCAATACAGGTGATCATTTATCTAGACACAACTTGAATCTATATTTCTTAATGTTAAGTTTAGGATTCCTTGACTTAATTGTGCCTTCGAAGTTCATGCTAATCTCCAAGCCTGAGACCACTTAATTGTGCTGTGGACTAAAAAAATGGAACGATGGTAGTCCTAATTCACCAGTTACATTTGAGCGCTATAATTCCAAACTAGTTCTCAATGCTTCATGTTTGCTACAAACTGAAACTGACTATAACTCACAGACAATGTAAACACAGTAACCACTTCTGTCTATGGGCAGACCAGCTTCAACCGAATCTGAGAACACTTGAAATAAGTCCCCCGAACTAGCCTTTGATAAATATGAATTCCTATGGCTGTGTGGCTGGTGGCTGAGAGATTCTTGACTAAAATACATGTATATGAACACATGACAGTAAACTGTATGCTAACAGATTGCCATGATTGGTCCAACCCGATCTGCTGACCCGATATGACACGGATATGCATGTACTATCAATACAAGACAGTATAAGTCTACCAGAGACATCAATGAACTACAATATAAATCAACACAAATGTAAACAATCTTTAGATCATTATGAAAAGATGAATTATTTACAAATCAAACATGAGGTATATGTACATGCAGTATAACATATAGGTGTGCCTGCTGCAAGTTAAATGTACAAGACCACAGTTTGAGCTCATTCATGTATTGGGAGTGAGTGAGATTAGTTTTACGCCGCTTTTAGCAATATTCCAGCATTATCATGGTGGTGAACACCAGAAATGGGCTTCACACATTGTACCCATGTTGGGAATCAAACCACAAGGCTATCCACTGCCCCTTCATGTGTGGAGAAGTTTTCCATCTGGAGTCCGTTGTACAAAGCAATCTTAGCATTAAGGTGACTGTAACTCCCAAACCTTAACATAGACTTAAGGTAGTGTTAGCGCTAAGGTTGTTTTGTACAACGGCACCCTGATCCACTTGTTATCTACACTGATACAACCATGGGTGCCTTACACTGACACAGAACAGTTGTTCAATTAAGCATGTAAGCATATATCGTAATACATTTGTATTGTTGATATTTATCAATACAAATTTATGATGTTAAGTACTAAATAAATAATTCACTAACAGAATCATTTACATTTTTGTAAGATCATTGTGTTAAAGATGGACAGTGAGAAGGCAGAAATTAAATACAAGCCTTAAATGGATCAGTCAAGTTAGCTGCAGGTCATTGCTCAATTAAATATATACACATACAGAGAAAATACTACTATTAATCAATATATATGGTGCTATCCCGATACTTCTGAATTGATATATTGATTAAAAAAAATCAAATCATTAATGAAACCTCCTTTCAAACAGCAAGGCTCTGCAACCTGGCAAACCTGCTTATCTCCCTTTATGTCATGTTGTGTTAACAATGATAGAACGTACCACGAAACAGCAAGTAAATCAATGGATCAAAGTGTACCAATAAAAAAGGCTAAAATGATATTTCTAAAGCTGTAATTTGCATTTTCCTATGTAAGTATTTTTGTCATTGATGAAAAGGACGGAATGTTAAATGAGAAGCTACTGATTATGAAGAGACCCAGGATGTGACTGACAATAAAACATTCTTTTCTTTGGATGTCAGTCCAAATCTGATAAAGTTTGTAAGAAAGGTAAAATATTTCAAATAATGACATAAAAAAATCAAATTTTAAGAAGAATCAATGATGTATGTTTATCAAACATAAAAACAAACTGTTCTTAAAATAAAAGCTTACAATTTATAAAAATATATCAACATGAAAAGAGTTCTACCATACTAAATATCAAGTCATTTTGTCTGCTCACATTGTGGCATAGTTTCAACATGATCGGTACATTAAAATGTTAAACACCTAACACATTCATGTGTCCGGTTAGCAGTCAGTAATGACATAATGAATGCCATCAAGATCTCGACTGCACTGCATGTATACAACAGGAGAGGGTGAGTCTTGCTCTGTACTTAACTGTATGTATGCAACAGGAGAGGGTGAGTCTTGCTCTGTACTTAACTGTATGTATGCAACAGGAGAGAGTGAGTCTAGCTCTCTACTTCACTGTATGTATACAACAGGATAGGGTGAGTCTAGCTCTCTACTTCACTGTATGTATGCAACAGGAGAGGGTGAGTCTAGCTCTCTACTTCACTGTATGTGTACAACAGGAAAGGGTGAGTCTAGCTCTCTACGTCTCTGTATGTGTACAACAGGAAAGGGTGAGTCTAGCGCTCTACTTCACTGTATGTATACAACAGGAGAGGGTGAGTCTAGCTCTCTACTTCACTGTATGTATACAACAAGAGAGGGTGAGTCTAGCGCTCTACTTCACTGTATGTGTACAACAAGAGAGGGTGAGTCTAGCGCTCTACTTCACTGTATGTGTACAACAGAATAGGGTGAGTCTAGCTCTCTACTTCACTGTATGTGTACAACAGGAGAGGGTGAGTCTAGCTCTCTACTTCACTGTATGTGTACAACAGGAGAGGGTGAGTCTAGCTCTCTACTTCACTGTATGTATACAACAGGAGAGGGTGAGTCTAGCTCTCTACTTCACTGTATGTATACAACAGGAGAGGGTGAGTCTAGCTCTCTACTTCACTGTATGTATACAACAGGAGAGGGTGAGTCTAGCTCTCTACTTCACTGTATGCATACAACAGGAAAGGATGAGTCTAGCTCTGTACTTCACTGTATGTGTACAACAGGAAAGGGTGAGTCTAGCTCTCTACTTCACTGTATGTGTACAACAGGAGAGGGTGAGTCTAGCTCTCTACTTCACTGTATGTATACAACAGGAGAGGGTGAGTCTAGCTCTCTACTTCACTGTATGTATACAACAGGAGAGGGTGAGTCTAGCTCTCTACTTCACTGTATGTATACAACAGGAGAGGGTGAGTCTAGCTCTCTACTTCACTGTATGCATACATCCTCAACACTGTTGAAATAAGCATAACCGTTGTTGGGACAAAGTTTGAAAAAAGCATGACAAAGAGGGTGAAGTAAAGTCTTACAGCTGTTGTCTTTACAGAAAACGGACTTATGTAAACACAAAGCAACTTAATTACCAGTAGATAATAATTCCATAATCCTTCCACAAATCTAAAAAGTTTTTACAAAATGACTTGGGCAAAATACATCTGGTCACTCTCTTCCATGATGTACTGGGATGGTACATCTCAAAAGTGCTTGTGCAAGATCATGTGATATGATATAGTTGATATGAATATATATGCATATTTTGAACATATTCAGCAGATTTGGCAAGATGAACATACAGCTGCCTGATCATGCTGAGTTTGGAGCTGAATTAAACTCCCTCTTACGCAGGATGGATAATATCCATTGCTTAACTCTTTTTGTGTTAATGTGAATAATTTGATGGCGATTCTTTTGGAGCTAGATATGTGAATAAAAGCCTTAGTTCACTCTCTTGAAGCTAGAAATGTGAATAAAAGCTTTAGTGAACTCTCTTGGAGCTAGAAATGTGAATATAATCTACCAGTAAAGTATCTTGGAAATACAAATTTAAATAAACGCTTAAGTTGACTTGTTTGGAGCTAGAAATGTGAATAAAAGCTTTAGTTAACTCTCTTGGAGCTAGATAAGTGAATAAAATCTTTAGTGAGCTCTCCTAGAGCTAGATATGTGAATATAATCTACCAGTTAAGTATATTGGAGCTAGATATGTGAATAAAAGCTTCAGTGAACTCTCTTGGAGCTAGATATGTGAATAAATGCTTTAGTTAACTCTATTGGAGCGAGATATGTGAATATAATCTACCAGTTAAATATCTTGGAAATACAAATTTGAAAAGAGCTTTATATATATCTCTTGGAGCTAGTAGATATGTGAAAAATTACCTTCTGTTATTTCTGTTGGAGCAAACAATATGTATAAAAACCATTAGTTTACTCTGGAGCAAGAACTATGAACAATAACCACTAAAGAGAGTTAACTCTCTTGAAGTTAATGTGTCTAATGATATTAATAGTAACCTACCTCCCTTGGAAATACAAAGGAGAAGCACGAGAATCTCAAGATCAAGTAACCTGACTAGCATACAGAATTGTGAAACTCTTCTGAAGATACTCAAGATGACAGGAGACAAATATTGACATTTATCTCTTGGTTCTTTCATTGTTTGGAAACAAACTCATTGTGCCCAAAATACTCACTTATACATCTGTTGATATCATTGTATAAGCACATTATGATGACGCCGATAGCAATGTTTTGGTTAAAGCAACTCAAGCTTTATAGAAAGATGAAACATTCACAGATGGCATTTGTTTTGAAAGAGGAATTGAAGTGGAACACCATTTTGAACTTTATCAGTCAGCATGATTATACCAAGCCGTGTATTATTTATGAGAGAGGCAAAAAGCTATAACGAAATGTCACCAGAGACACAAGTTTCACATTTCCAGTGCTAGTAGTCTATTTGAAACTGTTCTACTACAGAGCCATTACTGGACGGGGTAAGTTCTATACCTTTCGCCACGGGTCTCCGAGGTGGCAGCAGGAATATGATGGAGAGTGACATCACCATGTGCCACACACTGTGGGTGTACATATAGTTCTCCTGAGTCTCGAAGAAGGAAAACACCACCAGCCCAGTGGCAGCTAACAGGAACCCTGGGAGGAGGAACTTGATGTACCGCCATTTGGAGGGAAAACAGGATCGACGCTGCCACCAAACTCTCGCCTGGAATATTAAACAGGTAACTTCGAAATATTGTCCTTGGAGTGACCTAGACATTCTACCGAAGGCTATGGACATAGGCAATAACCAACAACACATACGTAATTGTTGGCTTTAATCATTTAGTTATTATCACTAAAGTTTTATCTCTTTCACAAACATTCTGCCAAAACAAGACTGACCAGGCTCAAAATTGGACCAGGCTCTCCAATATTTCTTTGTCATCAGAAAACAGAACATCTACACAATCAGCCAATTCATCCTCAAGGGTTACACCTAAAACTAGAGCCAAGTACCATAGTTTGTTTGTCTGTCGTTTAATCCAGCAATAATCCGGCCACAGGACAACTGTCTGAGAATAATCAGGTCTGGACCAGACATCCAGTGACTGACATTACAAGCAAAGACCCACACTGTCAGGGTCAAGGACACGATAGTAACAAAGGCACCGAGCCTGACCACACAGTCCATTTGCTGCCTTGACCAAATAGCATGGGTCCAAATAAAACATTTTGTTGTGGTTCAGATTACACCTCTTGGTAGGTAGGTATGTAGGTATGTAGGTATGTAGGTATGTAGGTAGGTAGGTAGGTAGGTGGGTGGGTGGGTAGGAGGTGGGATTTCTGGGTTTTTTTACATATTGTTTTTAGAAGTAAAGTGTGAACTTATAACACATTTATCAATGTTTAATTGTTTATTCAAACAAGCTTGCGGCCATCATGTCGACTTTCTCTATCAGAATGACCAATGTCCATTGGTGCCGGGCAAAAACAATGGTATCTGAAAGCTTATTTTATTCATACCTCTTAAAAAAACTAGGGTCAGCACCAGAATGCAAGGGTTGGTCGGGTAATGGAACCACAACATTTTCTTTTTTAGGCCTAGGTAGCTTGGGACAAACTCTAAACCGGAAGTCCCCACAGTGGAGTAGCCTACTGTGACCGCAACATCAGCAACATCCTGAATTCCTGAGCACTGGACTTTCTAGTCAAACATATCTTACCCATGAAATGAGTAGTATCAGAACTCCACCACCAATTGGTACTACGGATTCCCACAGGCCGTGTCTGTCAAAGTCCATCATCACAGAGATGCTGAGCACTCCGAACATGTGCAGCAGTGAGCGCAGCTGTGGGTGCAGTCGCGACATCGCCATCAGCGTCATCCAGAAGGACATGATGGAGCCCATGAAGTCTGAGTAGCTGAGGGTGTCGTATTTCATGATGCACAGGATGTAGATCTTACTGCTGTCACATGCATGGTAGAACTGGAAACAGAAACAAGGGTCACAGAGTGCATGAGTGTGCAAATGAATTTATGAGCAAGGGTGTCTGAGTCCATCATATACAGTGTGAAGATGGAGAGCGGAAGGTCGCAGGTTCCATCCCCGACCGCATCATACCAAAAGATTAAGATATGGTACTTGTTGGTCCCTGCCTGGCACTCGGCATTAATGGGTACAACAAGGACTGGTTGGCTCGGAGTCAGTATAATGTGTCTGAGTGGGGTATTCATGCTTCACTGTGGCATGGTATCTCAGTGGGCTAGCACTATAAAACCAGCTTAAGTCTGGGCTAGTACAAGCAGCCGCACATACACATACACACGCATGCACGTCGTCATATGAGCGAATATTCTCAAGCATGACGTTAAACCCAATTTCACCTCACCTCACCTCGTGAAGATCTTACTGCTGTGAAGTTGTTGTAGAACTCATTCACCTGATGAAGGACTAAGAATATACTTCAAAACGCCTGTTCCCTTCACAATGAAGAACTTGACATGAATAAACTTCTTGCCCTTATGTTGTAGAACTGTTCACAGAAACTGTTCACAGAAACAGTTCTATGATGGGTGGGTGAGTATGGTTCTACGTCGCTTTTAGCAATATCACAGCGGGGACACCAGAAATGGGCTTCACACATTTTACCCATGTTGGGAATAGAACCAAGGTCTTCGACCTGATGAACGAACACTTTAACCAGTAGGCTACCTCACCGACCCAACAGTTCTGTGAAGTTAACAACAAAACCCAAGAGTATCAAGTGTGGTGCTGACAAAGCAAGGATCATATCCAAAACTGAGATGCCACAATCGGTAGATCCTGGCAGGCAAAGGGAAGTAACTCGACTTCACATAATCTACACCATCACTGATTATACAAGAGTACTATCACATTGAGTGTCATAATCACAAAGCACCTGTAGGGATTAAACATTAATGAGTTTAGTGAAACTATCCACCATTTGGGGAATCTGGGAGTTTGTATTTAGAATTACTGGATCCTGGAACAACTAAAGGCTGCAACTCTGCACAACAAAGCACATCGACTGGGTCAGTTACAAACCATATGATAGAAGACACACAAGACAAAAACAAATCCTTGTGTTACATATCTGTAACATGTAACAAACATTTTGTATAACATTCACCATTTTACACGACGTGCAAATGCGTGTCTAGTATCCATAAATGTAGAGAATGTATGCAGAACAATAATTCACTGCATTCAGATTGACACACAATTTTATTCATTGTACCCACAACACATCCTTGACTTGGAAAATTTTTGGTTGTTTCTTTGAGAGCAGTTACTTGCATCATTTCACCCATCAGTCCACATGATCAATGATTCATTCCAGGCTCTAAAGAAATTATCAAAACATACAGTTCTCTATACTGTTACTTCACAGGACCCTCATTTCCCGGCAAGGACCCGTAAAACTAATAATTAGGGGTCCCTGGGACCCCCTGTTTGTGAGTCGAGGTAAAACTCTGACAAGGCCTTTGTGCTTAAACAGTAAAAATCACTGCTTGCAAGTTTTGGTTTGGTCAGTTTTTGGAAAGTGACATTCTCTTTCGTTTTGAGACAAAGCTAAGACCACATAAAAATAATGTTCACTGATTAATGGTAAACTCTGATTTAATTAACATTCCATGTGAAAAGCGTTAACAATGAATCCAAATAAGTGTCAACTCACTGTTGAAAAAAACATGTTGAAAAAATAGACAAGGGCTTCCACAAAGTAGCGTCGATGCAGAGCCAAAAGGATGCCTGGGATGAAGAAGAGGTTGCTAAGAGACAAGAGCAAGGTCATGGCCAGCTCTGTTGTGTCTGAGTTCGCATGGGTTCCGTCTGTGCAGCCATACCCTTGCCAACCTGTGAAATATGGAAGTTTCCATGGTTACCAGGAGACAACAATAAAACCTTGGCAAGTTGTGTTGTTACTTCAAGTCTACGTGACTAACATCTGTGTGGGCATACCCTCACAATACTGTCCAACAATTAAGTCTTTACAAGCTCTATTGCTTTCCGAAGTCTACATAACTTTCATCTATGCAATCATATTGAGTCAAAAGTTGTTAACCTTAAAACTAACCATAATGCAAACTTGACTGACTTGGAATGAACCACTTGTAAATGTCACAAACCATTGACCTTTTACCACAGATTCGTCCTCTTTCTCAAAGTCAATGAGCTTTTTCAATATCTTGCATTCTAAGATGCCTAGCGGTTAGAACAATCGAAAAAAATATACATTATCAGACAATAAAGGTATAGTTTTTTGATGACGTAACAATTGAATGACGTTATTCCCGTCACTGCGCCATTCTAGTGTGCCCCTCGTAATCGAACCATTTTACATTACGTCACAGTGTAAGCAACGTCACGATGCATGTCAGTTGTCATCGCCTCGTACGGCCTCCTACCGTAAACTATCCTGTTGCATCCCGTTTCTTGGTTTGCAGTTGCTTCACGCAGCTAACATCACTGGTGGAAACATTACGTTTATGTTTTACGACGGTTAAAATGTGTTAATTCGACTCACAAGTTTTCAGCGACACGGTAACGTTCACCATGTTTACATTCCCACAATGCATTCGTGGAATGTCGTTTGACTACTCAGCTTCATTTGGATGTACTGATCTAAACTTACGTTGGTAGTAGAAATGCGACGTTCATATTGCCCCATATGGTTTACGTTAATGACAGATGTAATTAAAATAATTCAGAGAAGATATTTAATCTGAACATGAACCCGTCATCAAACTGTTATCATTTCTTTCTTTCTGGTAACGTTCGTCTTAATGTAGGGGGGCAGACACATCAATAGAACAGCGTGCCAGTTAGCCCTGTGCGTTGATTCTTAATTTAGGTCACCGACACCGTCGTTTGTTTTCTGCCTTAAATTAATCGTAATTATCCTTAGAAAGTATTAAATTTAGCATCTTAGAAAAGATGTAAAGTTGGCTCTACCCCAATGTGTTTTGTAATAAAGTATAGCTTTGCCCTGAAACTATTATAATTAAAGCACGAGAACGGTAGTTATTATAAAGTAATAATACTTCATTACAAAACACATTGGGGTAGAGAGAACTTTATTTCCTAAATACAAGTCACCCTGAACAAAACCTTCGATGTTTATGAGTATAGTTTGTAGCTGTATCAACAAGTTACCTGCATAGCATTCACAGGAGCTGAAGATGTGCACGCCGCTGATGTACTCCTTACACTTGCCGTAACGGCCGCAGCGTTCCTCGACACATGGCGACAGACTCACCATGAACTCAACCAGTGGGGCATGGTCACATACCAAGGGCTTGCTGAAACAGAAACAAGAGCAAGATAACAGTTTAGCATGCTGAAGTCAATGTGCTACATGTGTTATTGTTAAATTTTATCCATTTTCCAGGTAGCAAATGTTGGACATGAAAGAAGACATGTGAATGCATGTGTCCTTGAGGCTGCTTGTACTAGTCCAGACTAATATTGTGCCCTGAGATACCTTGCCACAGTCTACCATGCCAGTCTGACACAGTATACGAGCGGGAAGGCTGAACCAGCCAGTCCTTGCTTCATCACCTTAATGCAGAGCACCAGGCTGGGCAACAACGTTAAGAGAGTAACGTTTTGTAACGTCTTTTGGTACGATGCAGCTGAACATGTGACTTTCCGCTCTCTGGGCAGAAGGGCAAATCGGTGAAGACAGATCAGTATCTCTAGTCATACTGAACCTTTTATTGTCATTTATCTAAACGTAAAATTCAACCTAGAGGAGAAATACCTGCTGTGGATGTGGACTCTGTAAGGAGAGGTATCTACTGTGGATTTGAGAGATTGTAGCAGGCACTCTGTAAGGAGAGGTGGATAACCTACAGGCACTCTGGGTAGAAATAGAGGAGCCACCTGGATGTGAGAGATTGTAGCAGGCACTCTGTACAGTGGATGTGTGAGAGGTACCTGTAAGGACAGTGGATGTGAGAGATTGTAGCAGGCACTCTGTAAGGAGAGGTACCTACAGTGGATGTGAGAGATTGTAGCAGGCACTCTGTAAGGAGAGGTACCTACAGTGGATGTGAGAGATTGTAGCAGGCACTCTGTAAGAGAGAGGTACCTACAGTGGATGTGAGAGATTGTAGCAGGCACTCTGTAAGGAGAGGTACCTACAGTGGATGTGAGAGATTGTAGCAGGCACTCTGTAAGGAGAGGTACCTACAGTGGATGTGAGAGATTGTAGCAGGCGCTCTGTAAGGAGAGAAGTACCTACAGTGGATGTGAGAGATTGTGATGAGGCACTCTGTAAGGAGAGGTAGCTACAGTGGATGTGAGAGATTGTAGCAGGCACTCTGTAAGGAGGTACCTACAGTGGATGTGGATGTGAGAGATTGTAGCAGGCGCTCTGTAAGGAGAGGTACCTACAGTGGATGTGAGAGATTGTAGCAGGCGCTCTGTAAGGAGAGGTACCTACAGTGGATGTGAGAGATTGTAGCAGGCACTCTGTAAGGAGAGGTACCTAGGAGAGTACCTACAGTGGATGTGAGAGATTGTAGCAGGCACTCTGTAAGGAGAGGTACCTACAGTGGATGTGAGAGATTGTAGCAGGCACTCTGTAAGGAGAGGTACCTACAGTGGATGTGAGAGAGATTGCAGGCACTCTGTAAGGAGAGGTACCTACAGTGGATGTGAGAGATTGTAGCAGGAGCTGTAAGGAGAGGTACCTACAGTGGATGTGAGAGATTGTAGCAGGCACTCTGTAAGGAGAGAGGTACCTACAGTGGATGTGAGAGATTGTAGCAGGCACTCTGTAAGGAGAGGTACCTACAGTGGATGTGAGAGATTGTAGCAGGCACTCTGTAAGGAGAGGTACCTACAGTGGATGTGAGAGATTGTAGCAGGCACTCTGTAAGGAGAGGTACCTACAGTGGATGTGAGAGATTGTAGCAGGCACTCTGTAAGGAGAGGTACCTACAGTGGATGTGAGAGATTGTAGCAGGCACTCTGTAAGGAGAGGTACCTACAGTGGATGTGAGAGATTGTAGCAGGCACTCTGTAAGGGTACGAGAGATTGTACCTACAGTGGAGTGGCTGAGAGATTGTAGCAGGCACTCTGTAAGGAGAGGTACCTACAGTGGATGTGAGAGATTGTAGCAGGCGCTCTGTAAGGAGAGGTACCTACAGTGGATGTGAGAGATTGTAGCAGGCACTCTGTAAGGAGAGGTACCTACAGTGGATGTGAGAGATTGTAGCAGGCGCTCTGTAAGGAGAGATACCTACAGTGGATGTGAGAGATTGTAGCAGGCACTCTGTAAGGACAGGTACCTTACAAAGCATATTTTAGTTATGGACAATCACTAAATCATTTCAAACAACTGCTAGAGGCAGAACACTTAACTTGACTGAAGAATCTGGGTCATCAAAGGAACACAGATGTGATCTTTATTTTGAAGTTCCTAATATCTCTATCTGATTAAAGTTAAGACTCTTATGCCAAACACAACAAGAAGTCATAGTCATCAAAATACTCTTTATGAATATGTCTACTAGTTATGATTATGTCAAATGTTTTGGAGTGAATATAGCAATGTGGAAGGAGAGTATTGAAAGGTTTTTAAGATCTGCTCCAGAAAGGAGCACTACCACCAAATTCAGCTGAGGCCAGTTGAAGTCACGTTTCCATGGAAACAGCAGAATATAAAATTCATATCTGGGTCTAAACCCCAAAAGGCACATCTAGGGATCATGCTTGACATATGTACCACGTTTGATGAAGCTAGCATGTATAGTTTAGGAGATCTGCTCCAGACAAGATGACAACCTCATAGCCACAGCCTAAGTCACGGTTCCATGGAAATCGCAGAAAATAAAATTCATGTCTGGGTCTAACCCCAAAACAACAGATATACAAGCGAGTCCGGTAATTCCGCACGTCCAGTAATTCTGCGCATCTGCAATAGCGTACTTTTGTACGAAGGTAAACATCGTCTGCTACCACATTTACGCTTGAAATCGGGACATTTCTATAAGGGACTGGCTTTTAATCACTAAAGGTAAGTAAATAACAGTAATTGACAGATAAATTGACAGTTTAATGAAAATCCGTTTTTTTCATACTTTTAAACCTTTTTCTTCATTATTTATACTTCGATTTAATATGAAATACTCTTCCTTACATTGAAGAATGAAATTTTTAGAGTAAAATTAATATTTTTATACTTATCCTGACTCATGTTTATTTGCTTGTCTTCTTCTTCTGGCGAACCTAGTGGAACACTTGTATCTCCCAATTGAAGCTCCCTTCAATAAAAAATCACTCATTAGTACTCACCCCGAGTTATCTCCCTTCCTCCGGCGGGAAGGAGTGGCTTCACCTTAGCCCATGTGCCTCACTCTCCTTTGTTTTGAGCCCAACACTTTATTTTTCCGAAATCCAAAGTGTTAAGTGGGAGGACGGGAAGCTTACCTGATGAGTCAGGATAAGCATAAAAATATTAATTTTACTCTAAAAATTTCATATTTTTTCTTATCCTGACTCATGTTTATTTGCTTGTAGAATCCTACGGAATAGGAGGTGGGATTATATATACTTTGGATTTTACTAATTAGTGATTTGAACTGAGATGATTGTAATAACCCTAAGGGAACTTCATGAAGGCACTGAACTGAATTCCTGCTGTTAAATTAACAGTTGCCTTTAAATAGGTTATTACAATTTACTGAATATAATAAAAGTATATAGAACATTAATAAGCTAGAGCCCTTAATGTGGTAGTATAAACTGTAGATAGTTTATAATGAATACTTTTATAAGAACCAAAGTAATAAGCTTACAATATGCATATATATAAGCTATAACATAACTGTGCTTAAGGTATAATGATAACTTAAGCTGTATAATAGTAACCAACTACTGCTTGAAGTTTGTTAACTAATACATGTTATGAAATGAACATATGATAGAGCTTAAGGAATAACTTAAGCTGAACATATAAAATAGTAGAACTCGTCGACGAGTTGTAGGTATTATGATAAAGAATCATAGTACAGAACTTAAGATAATATTTTAACTTAAGTAAAAATATATGTATATAGCATATAGCTATTAGTACTGTTATCAGATAAGTATAAAAATCATCAAGATAAACTTATCTTCTCCGTGGAACTGTCAACTGTTGAGCGGGACCATGGGACCGAAATGGTGGATACCTGAGACGTCCTTGGTGGTGATATCTCTCAGATAATGGTTTGCAAACACCATCTCGACCTCCAAAACATCCCTCCATAATGTTGTTCAAAGAACAGTTTCTATGTAACCAGAGTTGAGGCTAGTGCTCTAATTTCGCGTGAGGATTAGCAGCACTTGGAGGGGTTCAGTCCTGCTGCCTTGTAGGCTCTTAGTATGACAGTTCAATCCAAATAGAAATGGTCGTCTTGCTGACACTTCTGTCTGTGAAGTGGTAGATATGGGGATAAACAATCTTTTGAATTTCCCTCTACTTTGCTTGGATCTTTGGAGATATATTTTCAATGCACGTACAGGGCAAAGTGATAAGTCCATCGTATCCTCCGCGGCCCCAGTATGGAAGAGAGGGCTGGGACATGGAACAACCTGTCTGGTTGACCTGGTAGTTGATTTTTGCTATAAAATCCCAGCGAAGTCCCAGATGAGCCGATATTATGAATATCATCAAATCGTGTTCTCTCATAGTCCAAAGCTGTGAATTTCCGACATTCTGGCGCAGTGGCATAACGCTAGCAGGAATAAGGTTTTGTGGGTCAATGATTCATATGACACAGATAATAATGGTTCATAAGCCCTCACTTGTGAGGTGTTGAAGTACCACGATTTAGATCCCATGCTGGCGCTTTGAAACTTCCGTTTCCTGATCTTCCAATCGAAGGCACGTGTAGCAAGCGCCCCGGTAATTCGGTGTTTTGGTCAGTTTGACGCCCGTTCTCATAGTAATGACTGAGCTTATGAAAGCTTACCCAAGATAAATTGGATAGTGTAGATCCTTTGAGATTCTTAGTTTGGCGTGAGGAAACATAAGAAATCTGCCACTTGAGGATGTGTAGCAAATCTGGCTGAAAATCCTTTCTTAGCCGCGATAATTGATGGGAAATCTGAGCCATTTATCGTCATTTATATAAATTACGAAAGTGGAATTACGTGAGTGCAAGCGCGCGACCGCCAGCTGCTCTGTTGGAATAACCTCTCTTATTCCAAACACGCCTTGATACAATCCACATGTGCAGTCGGAATGCCTCTGGTGTTTTGTGCACTTGTTTGGTGTGGATGTATCAGTAGATTGGAGCGCGCAGTGGGAGCTGGAAGTACTGGTTTTCCGCATTCTTCGTGAAGAGATCTGGAACCACGTTCTACATGGCCAGGTAAGGCGAGACCAAAATCAGATCGAGGCTCTTCGTTTGACTGATTTTTTTAAGACTTGTGGGATCAGCAGGAGGGAAAGCGTGCCGCATTAGTCCCTCCGACTATGCTTAGTGCGTCCGTTGCCCATGCTGGTGGGTCTGGTACTGGCGAAACGAAGGTTGTCAGTTGATTGTTGAATCGGGTGGCAAATAGATCTATCAGAGAGGAGATCCCTATTTCCAAGCGATTATCTGATTGAATATCTCTGTGTGTGGAGCATCCATTCTGTCGCATGCGATGGTTGGTGTGGCGAGAGAGCCGTCTGCTAACACATTCTTTGCCCCTGGAATGTGGCATGCTTTGATATGTATGTTTAGACTGTCGACTAGATCGAACAGTTTGAAACATCGAAAGAGTAGATTCAGTGATCTTGTTGACCCTTGTTTGTTGTTCACATAAAACGCCACTGTGGAGTTGTCTGTATGAATCATTAACTGAGCGCTCTGTAATAGGTTGCTCCAGTGATCTATGGCGTTTTATGACTGCTTGCATCTCTAGCAGATTTATGTGACATAAGCTCTCTTGAATGCTCCATAGGCCTGGACGCTGTCCTGCCGGAAAGGTGGGCTCCCAACCTTTAGTGACGCATCCGTAACGCAAAGGTGTGATTCCGGCTCTCGAGCTAAAAGGAGACGCTTCTACGCCCAGACATTCAATCTCTTGGTCCACCAGAGTAGATGTGGTTTGACGTAATCTGGTAGACTAAGCGATGGTAGAGGGTCCTCGAGATGGGCATTGATGAGGACTTGTAATGGACGCTAATTGGAGCCTGCCTCTGAGTGTCAAATCTTGAGCCGATGTGAGTAGTCCCAGTAGACTGTGCCACTGTCGTAGTGGTATGGGAGAGTAGGGCTTGGGGATCATTTGTTGTATCTTGATCATCTGTCCTCCGGGACTATCATAATGGGTTCTGAGCTGTAAGGAATGCGTATGCCTAGAAACTGCAGATCCTGCGTGGGCTCTAGGTCCGACTTGCGCGATGATTTACTAACCAGCCTAACTCGCAGGTAGTAGCTTGATTGTAAAGTTCAGCTGTAGTCTGAGGCGCTGTGGATGTGTATCCACCTGTATGCCGTCGTCTAGGTAAAATGCGCCCCAGGCCTTGGCGATGTAGATATGAGACCATAGGCTTGGTTATTCTTGTGAAATATCCATGGGGCGAAGTGATTCGAAGGGAAGTACTTTCCATTGGTAGTGTATGCCGTCTAGCATGAATCTCAGATATTTCCTTGAACTGGGATGAATGGAATGTGTAGGTATGCATCCTGCAGATCTATACTTACCATGTAATCTAGTGAATGAATTAGATGACGAAGTTGAGGTAAATGTATCATCTTGAAGCAGCTGGTGGTTTGCATAGAAATTCTCTGTTGAAAGTGCTCATGTTGTAAATGAGGTGATACTTCTCTTTTGAATTCTTTTGGTACTAGGAAGACTGGGAATACAAAACCTGGTATGATATTTTGCTGATCGAGAACTTCTAAGGCCTGTTTGTTTAGTAGAGACTGTACTGTTTCTCTTAACATCGGTGTAGTGATGCCAGATGAGCGTTGAACCCTGGTGGGTTGACTGTTAACGGTGGCAGCCTTGAGTTGTAGGCGAATATCCATTACCGAAGGATGTTGGATACATCACGGGTCTTGAAGTATTCCCCAGTTTTCCCAGTGAAGTTGTAATCGTCCACCCACTTGAGACGGTTGTACTGGGACGACTGGGGGTGGAAGACTCCAGTCGTTCCGAACCTGACTTTCATCGTTTATATCCACGGCTACCTCTGGATGATCTGCCTCTAGCTGATCCTCCTCTGAACTTGTTGTAGAGGCGACGAAAAGAATCCTTGGGATTATTAGCGGCCGCTAGTTTCTTATCCCGTGCTCTCTGTAACCCTGAGAATTTAGCCTTACCCGAGTACCTCTGTGCTGACTGTTTGAAGACGTTTCGTTAATAGTCCTAGATCTATTAAGTCCGAAGAACATTCTTCTAGCAATGGTATCTAAGTGGGCCATCTTGCGATCATCAATCCTATAACTTCTGGACTTGGAATCATTGATAATCTTGAAGTTCTCATCGATCTCCTGAGTCTTGAAAAAAGGCTCCATATTATGTCCATAGAATTGCTTGGCATTGAAGATCGGTAAGTGAGGAAGATGGGATTTAGTAGATTTAGAGTAAGTTGTATCCAGTTTAGCAGGAACGGCTGCGATAGGATGCACAGGAGGTATGGTGATATGATCTACGTCATCATCTTTCATCAGGTAAGTTTGGGCTGTATCCTCGTTCTTGGAGGGAGAGGCCAGTTGTAATTCATTTACCATCCAATACCATATCTCAGCCTCTGAGAATATGATACCATCGTCTTCCTCTGGCGTATGGTGATATGTCGAGGAGACCTCGATCTGTAAGAAGATCTATGTGAGGACTGAGGAGAACGGACTGACAAGTGGCTAGTGTATGTAGATCTTGGAGAGGATATCCCTTCTGCGGAGACTGTGGGCTCATTGAGCGGTGATAACCGTCGGCGCTCGCGGGCTTCGGACGGATGATGAGGGCTGCCTGAAGCGTCTTCTAGGCGTTGTAGAACCACTTAGCCTGCAGCGTCTTGCGCAATTGTCTGGAGTCAGTGTCCGATCCGACATATGAGTGTTTGCTTTTCGCGGCGCCCGCCATTACATGACAAAGGTGCGTGCTAGGCGAAACACTCCTTCTCCATGAGAAGCCTCTTGTAAAGGTCAGACTCTAGCTCCATCTCGGAGTAGGCCTGGGATACCTTATGCAAGAGCTCACTCCGGACAGGGGTTGCCCTTAGCGAGCGGCTGCAGCGTCTGTGAGCTCAGGGGCCCCTAGCGAAGTCAAAGGCGGGCTCTGGGGCCCTGTATGACTTAGTATGGGGTGGGCTCTGGGGCCCGTGGCTCTTCGAGGCCGTGGCGTTGTTCCATCATTCTCATCATGATGTGGTTGATCAAGTCATCTGGGGCGCTCTGCGTTGGCGAGGGATGTCTCTCTGCAGAAGTGACAGGACCCTCAGATAGATGTATTGGTATTAGCATACCGGCATCTCGGTTTGTGTGTCCGTCTATGCCAGAGGTGATAGTAAAGCAGAAGCGGGCCGTTTCTTTGTGACGAACTTCTGGAATGATAATAGGCATATCATCATCATATAATGCTAATTCTGTAACTGGTAAGATATCAAAGCAAATTTATTAGATTTAGTTGACTTCCCTTTAGATGGCCGGTGTAGATCTTGGAGTGCGTGGGAAGTGCACGAGATGATGTGGCTGGTTTCCTCGACTTGGACTGAGGCGGCGGCAGCTCTTGAGATGCAGGTAAGCTTCTTGGACATAGCGGACTGCGTCCAAGCTTATCGCCCGAGGAAACTCAGGTATGTCACCAGCGGTGGCGAGTCCTCAATCAACAGTTGACATGAAACATTAATTTGCGATCTATTAGCCATGTTTGAATTCTGTCACGAGATTTATCTGCCTTCCGTCTGTAAGCGGAACATAAATATTTGTCAAAAGCAGAGATAGGTAAATTGTTACACAATTTACAGCGAAATCAAAGGAACATGGAGTAATGCAGCTAGGGCATTTTAAATGAGGATCGATCTCACAATAACATAGTTTACATTCTGTGCAAATTTTCATCAATGTAGCCTACTGAACAATCCACGACAATTAAAGTGAATAAAACAGCAGAAACACAATTAATAATCAATGCAAATTGAATAAATATACTAGTACTACCTCTATACTAATGTATAAGAGGAACTTAACTAGATTTAAATAAAGGATATGTGTGTTGGGAGACACAGGCGCTCTCACGTCCAGCTCACTGGGCGAAGAAGGAGAGAGTGAGGCACATGGGCTAAGGTGGCGCCCTCCTTCCCGCGCTTCGGAAAGGGAGATAACTCGGGGTGAGTACTAATGAGTGATTTTTTATTGAAGGGAGCTTCAATTGGGAGATACAAGTGTTCCACTAGGTTCGCCAGAAGAAGAAGACAAGCAAATAAACATGAGTCAGGATAAGAAAAAATAGTGATTTTTGAAAATAATCTGGCCCTAATACGCTTCCATACTTCGGATCTCCAGCTGGATGTTATGTGCATCAGTTGCTGCGCAGAATTACCGGACAGCAAGCGATGTCCTCAGAACGCTGGTAAGGTCAACCGTATGGCATAATGCAATGTTAGAATCTTATAGTCATCAATAAAACTTATATTTCTAGGTAAATATGATGCATACCAGCATGTTTAGTCACGTAAACCACAAAACCTAAGAGACATTAGTTGCCGTGTTGCGATCGATGTGCTTAGGTGCGCGGAATTACCGGACAGCATGAAACATGTATAACCATCTACAGCTATAGCAAATTAGAGTAGTGGTCCCACTGAGTTTATCACTACTGTTTACTGTATACAGCAGATGACACAAAACAATCCCCACCTTGTAATGTCCATCAGATCATTGTAAGTGTGTTTTCTATAACAATGGTTTACTATTTACATTATCAGTTCCTTTTTGGGAAATTAACCAATATTTGGTACATGGCTGAGACTTTATATTGACCTCAGACAAATCCCCTCATGAGCTTAAGTAACATATCCCAGCATGCACTCACTGCACGATCCTCAAGGACACCCAGGCTGATTTTGAGAGAGTTCCGCCAGTGTCTTCCACTTCGTCCAGGTTGAAGCTAGTCGAGAAAGACCACAGGCTTGATAAGAGGATCTGATTCTCTGGGATAGGCAGTTCTCCATAGTTGTGGATCACAAACACCCCTGAGAAGTCTATAGGTGCTATCTTATACCGGCCTAGAGAATTAGATGTAACACAATGTGCTTTCTTTGTAGGTCGTTCTCGCCTATAGGGTGAGTATCTTACGATGCCATCAGTGGTGTTCTTCTTACCCATATCTTCCAGTAGGGTGGGTTTGTCGCATTCTGAAACACAGAAATATTCAGCTTGTTGACCCTAGTAATAAACCTGAAATTGTAAAACCGCTTTTCCCTGCAAATCACCATGTTTTTCTGCCCAAATTAAAATAAATACATGGACCCCTGTCAAGTTATTGTTGCAACAGTACTACAAATGGTATCATGTAGTTATGATATATTATCAGTGGTATAGAGCAGTACTCTTATTGGCGATATAATCACTCACAGAGAGCAAAAGGTTGCGGGTTCCATCCCCGACCGCGTCATACCAAAAGACGTTAAAATATGGTACTTGTTGGTCCCTGCCTGGCACTCGGCATAAATGGGTACAACAAGGACTGGTCGGCTCGGAGTCATTATAATGTGTCTGAGTGGAGTATTCATGCTTCACTGCGGCATGGTATCTCAGTGGGCTAGCACTATAAAACCAGCTAGGTACAAATATTCTCAAAGTACAGCGTTAAACCCAATTTCACCTCACCTCACCTAATCACTCACCATAAGTCTGAAAATGAAGATTAAATGACAATGTTTTCACTAAAGGCAATGCCGGGTTACGAATGAACTTGATGTAAGTTGGCTCCTGCATAGGAGGTGATGTCACAGGGTGGATGCATGTTTTGTTGCTGAGGCTGCAGTTGACGGTGACGGAGGCATTGGAAGGTACCACCTCGCCAGAGAGCATGAAACTGAAGGGGCATGGTGAGATGGCTTGAGTCGTAGTGCCTTCTGTTGTCTCACAATCACTCATCTGTATGTCATAGAACACTGTGAAGTCTGGTGCTCTGAACCTGGGAGAGAGGATGAGAGGATAATAACTAAACTTATTTGTATTTCTTGACTTCTTAGCACTGTTTCACTGATGAATATTATGTCTAATGATATCTAAGCTTGGGAAGTACGACTAACATACTAAATTTAGACATACTACTGATCTGGAAAATCAACAAGACAAGGCATAATCCGGTCTGACTAGATTGTGATGAAGGTACCACCTTGTAAAGTCTCTCAGTAGCCTGACTATAAACCGATGAAGGTACCTCCTTGTAAAGTCTCTCAGTAGCCTGACTATAAACCGATGAAAGTACCTCCTTGTAAAGTCTCTCAGTAGCCTTACTATAAACCGATGAAAGTACCACCTTGTAAAGTCTCTCTGTAGCCTGACTATAAACCGATGAATGTACCACCGTGTAAAGTCTCTCTGTAGCCTGACTATAAACCGATGAAAGTACCTTCTTGTAAAGTCTCTCAGTAGCCTTACTATAAACCAATGAAAGTACCACCTTGTAAAGTCTCTCTGTAGCCTGACTATAAACCGATGAATGTACCACCATGTAAAGTCTCTCTGTAGCCTGACTATAAACCGATGAAAGTACCTTCTTGTAAAGTCTCTCTGTAGGCAGACTATAAACCGATGAAGGTACCTCCTTGTAAAGTCTCTCTGTAGCCTGACTATAAACCAATGAAGGTACCTCCTTGTAAAGTCTCTCAGTAGCCTGACTATAAACCGATGAAAGTACCTACTTTTAAAGTCTCTCAGTAGCCAGACTATAAACCAATGAAAGTACCACCTTGTAAAGTCTCTCTGTAGCCTGACTATAAACCGATGAATGTACCACCTTGTAAAGTCTCTCTGTAGCCTGACTATAAACCAATGAAAGTACCTACTTGTAAAGTCTCTCTGTAGCCTGACTATAAACCGATGAGTGTACCACCTTGTAAAGTCTCTCTGTAGCCTGACTATAAACCAATGAAGGTACCTCCTTGTAAAGTCTCTCAGTAGCCTGACTATAAACCGATGAAAGTACCTACTTTTAAAGTCTCTCAGTAGCCAGACTATAAACCAATGAAAGTACCTCCTTGTAAAGTCTCTCTGTAGCCTGACTATAAACCGATGAAGGTACCTCCTTGTAAAGTCTCTCAGTAGCCTGACTATAAACCGATGAAAGTACCTACTTTTAAAGTCTCTCAGTAGCCAGACTATAAACCAATGAAAGTACCACCTTGTAAAGTCTCTCTGTAGCCTGACTATAAACCGATGAATGTACCACCTTGTAAAGTCTCTCTGTAGCCTGACTATAAACCAATGAAAGTACCTACTTGTAAAGTCTCTCTGTAAAGTCTCTCTGAGCCTGACTATAAACCGATGAGTGTACCACCTTGTAAAGTCTCTCTGTAGCCTGACTATAAACCAATGAAAGTACCACCTTGTAAAGTCTCTCAGTAGCCTGACTATAAACCAATGAAGGTACCACCTTGTAAAGTCTCTCCGTAGCCTGACTATAAACCAATGAAAGTACCTACTTGTAAAGTCTCTCTGTAGCCTGACTATAAACCGATGAAGGTACCACCTTGTAAAGTCTCTCTGTAGCCTGACTATAAACCAATGAAGGTACCACCTTGTAAAGTCTCTCAGTAGCCTGACTATAAACCGATGAAGGTACCACCTTGTAAAGTCTCTCTGTAGCCTGACTATAAACCGATGAAGGTACCACCTTGTAAAGTCTCTCTGTAGCCTGACTATAAACCGATGAAGGTACCTACTTGTAAAGTCTCTCCCTGTAGCCTGACTATAAACCGATGAAAGTATCTACCTTGTAAAGTCTCTCTGTAGCCTGTGAAGAAAGTACCTACTTGTAAAGTCTCTCCTGGTCATGGTTGAGGTGAATCTTGTGACTTTTCTCCATGGAAAGGTCCCAGACATCCTCCACCACCTTAGTCACAGTGATCACAGACAGGCTGTAGGTACAGTCCTTGGTTAAACCCTGCACACACACAAATATCTCAATCTTAAACCCTGCACACACACAAATATCTCAATCTTAAACCCTGCACACACACAAATATCTCAATCTTAAACCCTGCACACACACAAATATCTCAATCTTAAACCCTGCACACACACAAATATCTCAATCTTAAACCCTGCACACACACAAATATCTCGATCTTAAACCCTGCACACACACAAATATCTCAATCTTAAACCCTGACTGAAGGGGCGGATACGGTGTTTAGAGAAAGGGGGCTGCACAATTCATTTTCAACCATTTTCATGAGAGTTTCAAGGGTCATTTAGATAATAAACTTTCAGTACAAAAGGTGGGTGTGCAACCCTGTACCCCACCTCTGGATCCACCTATGGACTGTGTATCTATAGATTAGTATATTACTTTCACTTAAAAAATGGGGATCCAAGTACTTGCTGGTGATATGGGGGTCCTGTAAAGTATTGAAATGGGACAGGGCAGGGCAGGGCAGGTAATTACTTCAGAATGAATCCGTGATCATGTGGATGGTGGTCATGACTGATGGTGAAATAACAGACACAGATAACTACTCTTGATCCGCTGTAGGTATTCATGGAATATTAGTGAGTCATTTTGGATGCGGTATATGAGATAGTCTGTGTCCATTCTGTACAAATGTGAATTGTGTAAAACCCTGATAGATCCTGGTCCTTTCAAGCTAACTTTTGTGTGCTACTTAAGATACGCTTGCTACTTGATTAGAGAATGTTTTACAAAATCAACATGGAGGCTCTGAAAACATGGCCGTTGCCATGGCTACATACTCTTTGGAGATGGACTGTGTACCCCAAGATCACAAGAGTCAAGTTTCATTTGAGTCAGGATTTGTGTTGCAACCATTCTATCAAGACATATTGTATCTTGACCAAGTTGTTGAACATTGTTCAACTCTGCATCATGCAATATTTCAACTATATGACAGGGGTCTGTAAGTTAACCAGACAATCCTGCAATGGACATCACAAGCATCAATTTGTGCCTCTGGGAAAGATACATACATATATATACAAGATATATAAACAAAGCAGATATGTCACCAAACCTGACCACCTGATCCATTTTTATTCCTTCAATTATCATATGCCACAAGTCATGTATGTTGCTGGATACCTCTATTCCATCCCTACCCGGAATTCCATTGAATTCTGGATAGATGACTAATATTTCCTTGCAGATAATTCAATCTTAGAAATGAGGCACAAACATCAATGACTTCTCACACTGACAATAAGATATACTTATTTAAGTTCCAGTGCTGCATGAGATAACCATGGGACCTCAAAACACTTCATAATTTCGAACAATTTGACATTGTAAATAATCATTTAATTTGCCCACTGACCCTCTGCCTGATCTCGTCTGAGCTGTATTCCTTCATGATGGCTCCAGCATACCACTTCCCAGGCATGGGGTAGGGGAGGGTGGCTTCCACGGACGCGTTGGACGAGGGCACCACATACTCCTGCGCCTGTCTCTGGTGGAGATGGAAATGGTCTGGGAACGTCTCATTGTTTGGACTGATCACTGGATACCTGCCCCGCTGAAGGTAACTGTGAAAAGACGGATGGTTTCAAAGAACTACAGAATTTTACTCAGTGGAATCTGATAGAGTATGTATAATAGAATTAAAAGTTGCAAGATTTCATCACAGTATTCTGTGCAATACAATCATCATACTCATAACAAACACTTATCATAAACATAGTCTTTTAAATTTACTTAAGAAAGGTCAACATCAGTGATTCCAAGGGTTCAACAAGATACCTGTCATATATGTTATATGGGTTAGTGTGCTGTCTTTGTGAGCTGGCAATTAGAAGCCTCAGTTTGAGAGTCTGGGTTTGAATCCTGAATGAGAATGAAATGCTAATGATGCTACACATGAAGTAACAGCTGTATACTTACACCTTGACCTTTCTGACAGCACATTTTTCATCTGAAGCAAATGCTCTCAATGTCAAGAAAACCTGCTCCGTCGCTTGTGGAATAGTTATTGTGATCAAGGACACATCCTTGTAGGAGTAGTACTGAGAGACAGGAGCCCCCACTGTCCACTCAACCTCAGCTATATAATAACCATCTGAAACACAATGTTGATAATACAAGTCTGGTTGTGTAATACAAGTCTGGTTGTGTAATACTTCCATATGATAAACATCACGATTTATCATCCAAAACTGTGTTCCACAGGAGATATCGCTTGTGTGAGATCATATGATATCTCCTAGGAGATATCGTTTTGACAGTAGATTTTGTACAATGCCCTGCTATGGCGTCATCAAATGCTATGACATCATCAACTTGATGGACGCTCGTCTTCGCCCGAAGACCGGGTTCGAATCCACAATGCTCAGTCAGTCAGTGACATCACTGCACAGCAAGTCTAATGGTAGTACAGTGTTGAGAGATGTACATTTTTCATTGAAAACTAATGAAGAGTGATTTTTGATGATAAATAGAATCTCACCCTCGTGTCTACTGATATCAATTATATCAACACTCGTTGATAAAAGTGAAAATATCCTCGGCAAGCTTCGGATATTTGTAACTTTATCAACTTGTGTTGATATAATTGATATCAGTAGACACTTGGGTGAGATTCTCTATATCATTGCTTCTAATATGATGGCTTTCAACACATTCAAGCTTCATACACCAATGATAAGCCATCTTTTTCTATATATACTGTTGACTAACATTCCCAATAAACTTTTGATTGTGCAACAATATTTCTGAAACACTAATAGGCACATTTGGCAGTTTACCATGACCTGGGTGGTTAACTTTAAGATTGCATTTATACTTGGTTTGTAAAGCTAGTTCATTGTGTGAAACCTTGCTTCAAACCAGGAATTTATCTCGAGTCCTGTATTTGAGGGTCCCTGGGACTCATATTCTTAATTTTCAGGGGTCCTGGACTACAAAATGGGGGTCCCAGACACTTAAATATTATTACTAATACTGTTATTGTATTGTGTATCATGATCATCACATTGTTACAGTAATTAATTGCAAATGATACCATAACCCAGTTAGTAGCAAACTCAGTGATAACTTATTGTTACTTGATTGGAATTTATACAAAAAATATTTGGACTTTTTCTGCGTCCCTGTGGATGCAATAAGAACTTTTTTTTGCATCCATTGTCAATGTTGTTTTTAAGCATTACAGGTAGCAGGATATATATACGTTCCTCTAAATCCCTCCTCTTAACATCTAGGAGGTTTTAATTTTAAGAATGAACTTTATATGAAAAGATGTTGTTTCCCTCATATGTTTTGATATCATAAATATTATTATATATAGTTGACTGTGTGATCTGATCTGATCTGACAGGAGGTTTTGAACCCCATACAACAGCCAAGTGCTTTCTTATAGAACATGTATCTATTCTGAATTCTGCAATGCTTATTGGTCTCATAATCTGACATCAACACAACAAACAACCATCAATAAAGGGTGAAAGTTTATGGATCTTAGTATCGGTATATTATGTAGAGGTGACTATCGAGGGGTAAACAACTATTGCGATAGCGATACTATTGCAACATACTATTGCGATAGCAACAGGCTATTGCGACAAACTATTGCAATACTATAAGGACAAATAATTTTCCTTGAATTCTCTTATTTGAAGTCATTTCCCAAATGAATGTGTAGTTTATATGAAATAAAAACAACCTGAAGTAGTTTCAGTTTATTTTAATAACTGACAAGAAACTTGAAACCAAGATCAAGTTTGTTTAAGAGGTAACAGCAGCAGATAACTCTAAATTAGAGTGAACAAATGTGGTACTTCCTGTATTTTGCGCTGCACATTTATCAACTGAAATCAATTACTAAACTATCGATAGTCACACATACTATAGACACATCGATAGTTTTTTGTTTCTACCATCGATTAATTGCTATCGGAGACTCTACAATTGCAATACATTGATAGTTTGATGCATCGTTACAGCCCTAATATTATGTGTTCTTTGTAATACAGAAGCTGACATCCATCATTTTTCACCCATTAAGTGTATGCCATACAAACACTTTAACCATCAACAAACACACAACTGTAGCTATAGTGCAGTTGAATATTGTTTTAGGGCTGTTGAAGATTTTATACATATCTAATACACAACCTTCACTGAAGACTCAATTAACACACAGCAGGGATTAATCTGAAACAAACCAATTAACTTTTCATGGGAATGTTAATCCTGTATCCTTTCCTCATACCGATCCGTCCAATTTCTGATTTCAAAGTAGTAAAATGCATTCGACGGATGAGCACTGTGATCTTAACTATTAATTAGTTATCCAAACATTGGATCATACCAAGAAAAAGAGGCAAGGGTTGTTGGATGGTTTGACTCTCTATATTTTTGTACTTTTGTACTTATCTTTGCCTACTCATATGACACCCAGCAGCTTTTGTTTTAGGGTTCCAGATCAGTGGAGCGAGGTAATCCCCTATAACAAAAGGTGCGCTTTCTATTTTGTTCCCTGTGATATTTAGTCACCTATTTAGTCACGGTGCTATATGATCCTGTAATCTTCGAAATCTTTTAATTTAAGGAATAACTGTGACAGAATATTGATCGAACATATATGTGTCATTTTTACATGACACATTTTAATAATTTACATCGCCTTATATCCATAATATATAAATATACATATTATATACATAGAAAAAGTACAGGGAAATTTGTTTAAGAGAAAAACTAAATGCCAAACGAAAGTGTCCCATAAATTAAAATCATTGTTAACTCCAGAAATGTACATATCTTCACTTGCTTGCAAAACAGATTTGAGAACAATGTAGTGTAAGTTTCGTTGTCTTTCACATGAGTTAAATATTCAGCAGTATCGGGTTAATAACAACATTGATGGAAATGCATTAGTCTGCTCCAAGTGTCAGTTACAGCAAACTGAAGATGAGTATCACACTCTGCTTAATTGTCCTTATTTTGCAGAAAGTCGTCAGGAGATTATTCCATCTTATTACCACATAGATCAATTGTGGAGGAGGAGCATATACTATCCTTATGTATTTATCTGAAAAGAAATCTACCAATATGAACTACACATTTTCCACAGTATTATAAGTAAAATTAATCTTATCTTGTACCGTTGTGCACATTATCAATTTGCCATACCAAAATAATTTGTCATTTGTCAACTACATGTTATATACATCGTCTTATATACACATGAGTTCATACATTACACACATAACACATTAGTACCCAGTGAGATGATATACACAATCACATTAGCTTTCAAAATGACTCCTAATCAGTATCTCTCAGCCCGCAATTTAGAAACAACTCAACACAAAACCCAAATTGGAATCTCAGTATGTTTTGATTCGAAACTATTATCTGTTATCAGCAGTGTTTAGTCATAACAGTGAGTACTTCCTAATTAATTCCTTCTTAAAGGTCACATGCAACGTCAAACACAACTTTGCAGATTCTGATACCTTTCGGTATGGACTTACAGAAACAAATCATCAAAAATGCAAATTCAACTTATAAAGTTGAAAAATAATGCGATGAAAAAAACGTGCGAAATCGTAGTTCAAATGATTCACTAATTTTCCCCCAGCGCTTGGGGGAATTGAAGTGGTTTCAACAGCTGCACTGCGCTCATAGCACATGCGCCATGAAATAGGTTTGCGCAGCTTGGAAACGGGTTGTCCGGTGAATACTCGGTGATGGGTTTGGTGTGAGCTATTTTTCAAATGTTCTGTTGATATTTCACAGGCGCGAGCTTTTTTATATGTTATGACAGTAGATTACCGATTTAACACTTTATATAATTTCATTTGTCTATTTCACCACACATTCTTCTTACCGAGTCACTTTCTCAGTTCGATACTTGAAAGCAATGTCATTATTTAGCGTTGACAGAATTTGTAACTGTGTTATAGACATGTTGTCACAGACAAAACTAAACTTAACACCAATCAGGCTATACACCATAAACAAAATGCATTGATTTATGGCCCGAGTTCGGTCTCTGTCACATTATGTAATTACACAGACAGGCAGGTGTGATACTTGAACACATGACATGTTATGATGTCTGTTGATTGCAAAATGTTATACACAAAAAATGAGCATGTATTTACAAAACCCAACATCTCTACATATACACACACAATGAGCCGTTAGGGCATCTGCAAATGAACCAGCCGTTACACTTGAGTGCACACCCACCCATTCTGACTGGGTTCGGTATCCTGGCTGGTTCGTTTCTTGGGAAGTAAACCCAAGTACAATATATAGCACTTTTGATTTGCGACTGTACGCTTATAATTTTGTATATATGTTTTGTCATAACCAGCAATGTATATTATATGTCATGAATAAGTGATAATTGTGTTTTAATTATGTTTGATTTTTCGGTTGCATGTGACCTTTAATTAATCCTAATTAAATAACAAACAAGTGACACCTTCAAACCAAATAGCCCTAATTAGTTTACACTATTGCATCCCTTTGATTCTTGCCGCACCGTGTGTAAACAACCTCAGTTCAGAGGGATTCTTGCTCATAGGTGAGTTTCTTTGCAAGTATCGAAGTTAGAAGGGTAATTTTGCTTGTTGGGGCCATGAAATTATATCGAGATATCTGAAATATCGAGACATCCATATCGAGTTAAAAAGAGCTTGAATAATGATAAATTTGGATTCATATGAAGGGTTTTGCCGGGACCGAGATGTTATATCGAGACAACTGATATATTGAGTTATCAGAGTTCAACACAATGGTGCTAGACTGTATAAGGAAAAATATCTGGACATAACTTCATTTCGGCCAGATGACAGATCACATTAGAAATGTCCAGTGAATTACTACAGCACACAGCAACCTGCAGTGAGAGCCTAATGGGTTCCATGGATAAACCCCTGCATTATGAGACACCCGCACTATAGATAACTCGGAATAAAGGCAAAGTAAAAATCGTATAATTAGGGACATGGGGATTCCCCAGGCACAACTTGGGGATTAGCCCTAACATGTCTCTTTCACTTTCGATTCCATGCTGCACAAAAGATTAAAAATAAAAAATTAAAGAGCCATTAAATCGTATGTTTCTGTTGGATCTTATATGCAATGACAATATACACATCCACGACTGTTTACAATGGGGCACAATCATAATCATAATGATCATATTACAACCTGATCGAAGTTCATACGTGTTCGTCGACTGCAGCTGAAACTTACCTCCCTGAGACACCGCTTCGCACAGGACTAGAAGAACGACGGCAATCAGAACAGTCAATCTGTTACGTTTCAGATGTCTGCTTCCATCTTGGTCGTCATGATTAAAGCCCATATTTTTCTCATTTCCTCATCTTTCCCAGTCTTACAGTCCACCTCGTGACGTCATACATAAACTTCCGGGAGTAAGCTCCTTCCCAGTGCCTGTTATCATTGTTACCTCCCGGATAGAGAGGGCCGATAACGGGTTATCGCGGTGAAGAGTTTCCGTTTGGAACCACGAAGGGAGGTAACTACCATACGAACTGTTGTTCATACCACAATTCCTTTTTGTGATAAGATGTCAAACATTCGAGGATGCATATGACCAATGCAGGGGTGCACCTAAGCCGCGAGAATGCGGGATTTGCCCATTTATACATAGGAGGGAGGGTGCAGGGGTGCGCACCCTCCCTTTTTGTGCTGAAAGTTTGTTAATGACATTTGAAACTCGGGTGAAAATGAAATGTGCACCCCTCTTTTTCTCAATAGTGTGCATCCCCCCTTTCTCAAAAAGCTGTATCCGCCCCTGTTATATTATAACTTCCGCAAACTGAAAAGTAAGTGCGCCCAATTTCACACAAATAAAGTTGAGCTGGCGGACCTTGATGACCTGGTGCAAGATATACCCTATTTAAACAAAATTGTCAATTGCAGTACCACGTCAGCCATATACTGTGACTTGTATCTTAAACAAAACACTAAACAGCGCCAATCATCGTAATATCCCGAGGTATCTATGATCAGAGTCAAAACGTTCCGATTGCTTTCTTGGAATTCGTGAGGGGGCATTATAATAATCACGTGACTGCCTTTTCGTGGCGTGTTTATTTCGCCCATTTTCAGAAATCACTGGGCCAATAGAAGTAGGAGGCCGTGGAGGCGGTGATCGGTTTGTTCACAAACTGCATGAGTGATAAGAAAGTATGAGTGCATGAGTGAGTAAGGTTTTACGCCGCTTTTAGCATATTATTCCAGCAACATCACGGCAGGGGACACCAGAAAGGGGCTTCGCACATTGTACCCATGTGGGGAATCGAACCCGGGTCTTCAGCCGAGCGGACGCTTTAACCATTAGCTAGGCTACCCCACCGTCCATGTTCACAAACTGGGTAACAGTGGTGGTAGTAGAGGAGGAGGCGGCCTGCCCAGCTATTGTTAGCTTAATGATAAAATTTGCCCCCGATGATTTAGGCCGAGATCAATCCCTGACCACGTGGCGTTGAACTCTTTTTTTGTCTTCATCATGTGTGTGAACCCGAAAAGATCCGGGTACGAATTCATCTTCAGTGGCCCATGCTTGTCGTAAGAGGCGACTAACGGGATGTGGTGTTCAGGCTCGCATCGTATCCCAATTGCCTAGATCGATGCTCATGCTGTTGATCACTGGCTTGTCTGGTCCAGTGCGGCGTTAAACAACAAATCAACCATCTTTATCATGATTACTAATTGGACTAGTGCTGGTTTGTGTGCTACGTCGCTGAGATACCAGTTTAAGAGTGAAGCCCCGCCGAAACCAAGTACTGACTGACTGAGTTTGGTTTTACGCCACTTTTAGCAATATTCCAGCAAAATCACGGCGGGGGACACCAGAAATGGGCTTCACACATTGCACCCATGTGGGGAATCGAACCCGGGTCTTCGGCGTGACGAGCCAACGCTTTAACCACTAGGCTACCCCACCGCCCCGAAACCAAGAACACTGACTCCAGGCCGACAAGGCATTGTAACAACAATTACCATCTTTTAACGACTTTTGGTATGACGCGACCTAGAATCGAACTACGACAGGGGTAACTAACTTTAAAAAGCGCATTTTATTTCATGGTATATTTGAACATCAACGTTGGTAACGATAGAACAGCCTGGTCCGGGCATGCAACTTCCGTGCCCACCTACTGCGACGTTGCAATAACCGATTAATGATAGCAATTCCTCGTAGGCATACTAACAGTTCATCTATAGTATTATTACACCATATATACTGTATTTGAAAGTGATACAAAGAAAAAGGTGAGAATTTATGGATGTCAACTTCTTTATTCTGAGGACTGACTGAGTTTGGTTTTACGCCGCTTTTAGCAATATTCCAGCAATATCACGGCGGGGATACCAGAAATGGGCTTCACTCATTGTACCCATGTGGGGATTCGAACCCAGGTCTTCGGCGTGACGAACCAACGCTTTAACCACTAGACTACCCCACCGCCCTTTATTCTGAGGAACACCACGTTTCCCAGTATATTCCTACTCCCTCATCATGTGACACAAATACATTTAGGAGATAAACATCATGAGTTGGCCAATATTTCCGGGTGTTATTGTATTGTTACGTCGTCAGCTGTGATGACGTCATTCAAATCATATTGTGACGTAAAGTCCGAATGACGTCACAAATGAGCATTTCCAGATGGTACCATGGGAGACAGCCGAAACGGCCGGCTGATGACATTTCACTGCCGTACCCGTACTCGATGTCAACGAGTGCAGACACAGAATCGTGTGTGGACCTTTCGGTTTACTTTTGTGTTTACAATGTCGATAAACATCATGTGTTGGCCAATTTCCGTGTGTTATTGAGTATTTTAAGGACGGGAATATTCCATTTTCAATTTAGAATACAACACAACTTCTCGTGAGGACGATCTCTGCCGTAGGTCACGCGTCATTAAGACAAACAACCAGTTTGTGAGAACCCGGCGGACGCGAACCCGCGACCTTCGGATTGTTAGCTCGACAGCTAACCGACTGAGCTACGTCCACACTGTTGCGCAACGTGCAAATTTATCGAGTCATTCCTGTGACGTCACGGAAATGAACGGAAAGAGTCGAATAGGTCACGGACAATTACGAATGCTACGGGTAGACTTGGTGTCTCGTGATTTTATTCTCCGGACAATTGCCGAATGGATCCGATGCCATTTGGCACACTCGTCCCATTCCGTAATCTACAAATTAACGTGTGGTGTGGAATGAGCCGATATGCCTCAAACTGAAAAGGGTTGTTGACGTCAGGCGTAGATTTCACAGTGCATGCATGAATGACGCGCTTTTATATAAATCGGTGATTTTGTGACAGAAAAGTGATGTAGGGAACACTGTAAGGATAATGTGAATCGCACTAAAGAACGAGGGAGACATGAGCATGTGTAGTGACGGCACTCGGGTGAGTTAGCCTCGAATCATTACTTTACAAAATGTATGTTGCGTGTGAAAGAGGCTTGAGTGCAAATTCCAGACCAATTTCCATTAGCCCAAAATTTCTATATTAAACCATTTCATAGTGTACTTTCGACGTTTTTGGTTTCCCGTTTTTGTGTGAAAAAAAGGTATTAAAATGCAAAAAGGAAAAACAACAAATGCTACTCACGTATTACACCGGGCCAACTATATTGGATTAGGCCCCTAACCCTAACCCCTAAACCCTCAGCCCTAACCCTAACCCTAACCCCTTGAAATAATCCTAATAAATAGAATGCATTGACCGAATCGGCACAAACATGACTGACGTGTCCAGTGCAATGTAATGCATTTTCACCACTTCGTAAAAGGAAATACTAATACCAAAACGTTTCTGTGTAATTGTGCAAATTACTGAATGAAAAAAAATATATATGTATGTTAGTTCACATTGGTGAATCATTTAGACTTAATAGTTACTAGTACTTCGAAACCGAAATATAAAATATATATTACATAATTTAAATAATTACATTGACCAAAATTGCGAATAATCGAATATATATAATACAGACCGGTGTAACACATTCTCGCTAAATTTAAAAAATACAAACTACAATAATACACAAAACATAACACCTCAGCACCCCGTAATACAAAAAAATATCAGTGCAAAAAGGAAAAATATTTCAAATTGGTGCTTGCAATAAATTGCGCATCCGCCGGTATACAACTACTGGAAACTCTCAACATCGTTGGGCTTATGCAATGACATAGCTTGTAGAGATGAAACACCAGTGAGCGGAGCTTATACCCACTCGCAGGGCTAGACAACCGTGTTGCCATGCAGGCGTCATAGGGCATTGTTTCGAGAACGTGCTTTCGAACAAAATCACATTACATTACGTAAAAGGGTATTATGACGTATTTTTAAGTTTCTGGTGCTGTATTCTAAAGGTAGGCCGCCAAAATTTGGCCAACACATGATGTTTATCTCCTAAATAACACCCGGAAATTTTATTTCATGGTATATTTGAACATCAACGTTGGTAACGATAGAACAGCCTGGTCCGGGCATGCAACTTCCGTGCCCACCTACTTCCGGCTGACGCCGTCGGTTCCAAATGAATTCCCGTGCTTCAAATACTCAATAACACCCGGAAATTGGCCAACACATGATGTTTATCTCCTAAATAACACCCGGAAATTGGCCAACACATGATGTTTATCGACATTGTAAACACAAATGTAAACCAAAAGGTCCACACACGTTTATGTGTCTGCACTCATTGACATAGAGTACGGGTACAGCAGTGCAATGTCATCAGCCGGCCGTTTCGGCTGTCTCCCATGGTAACATCTAGAACTGCTCATTTGTGACGTCATTCGGACTTTACGTCACAATATGATTTGAATGACGTCATCACAGCCGACGACGTAACAATACAATAGTGTGCACACTCCGGCCGCATGGAACTCTGGGTAGGAGAGTGAATAGTGTGAGCGATGTTTGTATGTATTACGCAGCGAATTTCCGGGAATCGAATACCATTTGATCACGTTTTTCAACCAATCAGATTAAAGAACACAGTGACTTTTGGTTTACAATTCTCATTTGAGCATAAATGCATATAATAAAATTATTTCAAATAAAGTTAATTGTAAATATATAATCACATTTTACAATATATACTATTGTCATTCTTTCATATTTTCATTTTGATGTTTCAATAGTGTTTATCTTGCTAACCCCACGCCCACTTGCGTGCTTGTCAAGGGCGGATACAGCTTTTTGAGAAAGGGTGTACACACTCTTGAGAAAGGGAGGGTGAAACACTTCATTTTTTTTTTTGCAAGGGTCATTGAATAAACTTTCAGGATAAAAGTGGGGGTGCGCACCCCTGCATTCCCCCCTCTGGATCCGCCTTTGCTTGTGATCTAATTATAGATTCAGGGAATTGTCGCCCAGTGTACTTGGGTATAACCCATCGCGTGACTGCATAAGGGCATTATAGGTCATGTGACTTCCCAGTTCTCATTTGTCGTGGTAACAAATTCAGCTGAGACGTACAATCTGAAGGTAAGGCGGTGTTTATAGTGACATAATTTGGGTTTATATAAACACTTTGAATGCATACTTATAGTTCTTTCTTCGCACTGTCTATGTTGTTGTTTACAGTGATCTAATGTTTATTCATATCTACTGTGAATGTACACTGTCAACACTGACCTGTCTCTCTTCAGTCTATCTATATTGTTGTTGTTTACAGTCATATAATCTGGGTTCATATACACACGTTGAATGCATAATGTCATCACTGATTTGTTTCGTCCGGCTGTCAATATTTATGGTGCTTTCAGTGATACTATATGTTGGTCCATATACACATTTCGACTGTCTATATTATTGTTGTTGTTTACAGAGATATAATGTTGGTCCATATACACACTTCGCACTATCTATAATGTTGTTTACAGTGATACAATGTTGGTCCATATACACACTTGGCACCATGTATAATGTTGTTTACAGAGATATATTGTTGGTCCATATACACACTTCGCACTATCTATAATGTTGTTTACAGAGATATATTGTTGGTCCATATACACACTTCGCATTATCTATAATGTTGTTTACAGAGATATATTGTTGGTCCATATACACACTTGGCACTGTCTATGTTGTTGTTTACAGAGATACAATGTTGGTCCATATACACACTTGGCACTGTCTATGTTGTTGTTTACAGAGATACAATGTTGGCCCATATTGTGGCGGCCGGGACTCACACTTCAATTAAACCTTGTCAGTCTTGTTTTCAGGAAGAGTCAAACACTTCTTTTCAATGAATAAATAGCTTTTTATTCATGGGTATAAATGTACTTCAGCACAATGCTATTTCTAATAAGTAGATCCCTCTCAAGCTTAAGGTTTATGTGCATGGACCAGTGTTAGGGCAATATAAGTATGACCTTTGACTTTACTGTTATATAGATATAGTGATGGCTTAATTATCTGGGTAATCTGAATAACTTGATAGTTACTAAGATATTAATATGCGTCTGTGTTCGAAAAGTGCAGTCTATCTATAGCATCAGCTATTATAATTATGTAAGGACAAGGGGAACTTTTGGGCTGAATTATCTGCCCTTGGTTTGAAACTGACCTGTAGACTGCCAAAGTCAGAATGACCCAACATGGGTCTCATCGTATTTATAGGTGTGAGAAAATGGTCACATGTCAGTTCTAGACCAATCAAATTACGAGATATTACGTCCCCGTTACGTCCTTATTCTTTTGAGGGATCTACTTTCACAACATGAAACCACTGAAATAAAGAGGAAGGCGAATTATCTCAGGAGGTAATCAGGTAGGAAAATGACTATTTTTACCAACCAATTAATTATGTGTAATTAATTCATTAATTGCCTTCCAATATCATAAGATCAACAATTGCGTCTCTCTACGTCTTGCTACGTCCTTGCTGCCTGCTGAGGGGGACGTAATATCAACAAGTAGCATCGGCTGGGAATTATGATGGACAATTCAAAGAGGAAGATTACAGATGTCAGGAGGCAATTGGAGTTTATCTGACACATAAGATGTTTAAAAACATGACTCAGCCCCTTATACAATTAGACAGTGGCACTGGAAGTCATATTTATGAAAAAACACGTTCATAAATAATGATGCTGAACATCGCGTATGAATACAACAGTGAGAATCACATAGTTCCCGTTGTCAGAATTAACATCGGCTTTGAAACATGACCTGATACATCATCAAGTACAATTCTGGGTTCCTCTACGTAATTCACAAGATTACATAAACTTTACAATGCAAAACACTAAGCTGAGTCAAAAGTAGCGGTAACCCCGTTGCGAAATAGACTGGCTGTCACAAAGTTAAAATGGCGGGCGTCACCAAAACATGTAGCTCGGCCCTGATCACAAATTCACCAAAGAATGGATAATTAACGAGTGTCAAGGGATTATGATCAGTTTGTCGAAGGACAAGGTAAGATTAATCCATATCGGATAGTTAGTTTTCGTAACTGGACGCTTAGAGCGAGGAAATGTCAAAAAGTTACGGTCAATTCAAAAACTCTTGAAAAGGTAAACAAGGTCGTTCTGACAGGCGACGTTGTTGACATTGACTCTTACAAAGTACAACTGTGTTCTAAACAAATAGCGTAATGTGATGGCACTAGCTTATGATGTTTTACGAATGCAATACATGTTATAATGCTCAAAACAACATGCTACGATCTTTTGCTAGATTTCTTACCAAAACAGATTTCAAAACACTGAATTACGTGAAAACGAGATTGCCAATAATACTCGTATATAGCTGCAAAACTAATTACACGATAATTATAATAACAATTTCTGCACTGCCATAAACTATCAAAAATACAGATATATAACAGATATCGCACTATCTATAATTGTTTACAGAGATATAATGTTGGTCCATATGACACTTCGCACTATCTATAATGTTGTTTACAGAGATATAATGTTGGTCCATATACACACTTGGCACTATCTATAATGTTGTTTACAGAGATATAATGTTGGTCCATATACACACTTGGCACTATCTATAATGTTGTTTACAGAGATATAATGTTGGTCCATATACACACTTCGCACTATCTATAATGTTGTTTACAGAGATATATTGTTGGTCCATATACACACTTCGCACTATCTATAATGTTGTTGACAAAGATATATTGTTGTTCCATATACACACTTCGCACTATCTATAATGTTGTTTACAGAGATATATTGTTGGTCCATATACACACTTCGCATTATCTATAATGTTGTTTACAGAGATATATTGTTGTTCCATATACACACTTCGCACTATCTATAATGTTGTTTACAGAGATATATTGTTGTTCCATATACACACTTCGCACTATCTATAATGTTGTTTACAGAGATATATTGTTGTTCCATATACACACTTCGCACTATCTATAATGTTGTTTACAGAGATGTATTGTTGGTCCATATACACACTTCGCACTATCTATAATGTTATTTGCAGTGATACAATGTTGGTCCATATACACTTAGCACCATGGATAATGTTTACAGTGATATAATGTTGGTCCATACACACTTCGCACCATGTATAATGTTTACAGTGATATAATGTTGGTCCATATACACTTGGCACCATGTATAATGTTTGCAGTGATATAACGTTGGTCCATACACACTTCGCACCATGTATAATGTTTACAGTGATATAATGTTGGTCCATAACACCCAATAGTCCACACCAAGGCGGGTTGAACAGTACTCTTTAAAACGAGGTGCCTTTCTATAAGGCTGTCACAGGGATACGGCTGACGGTCCCTGGCTGATCCATACGATCAGCTCTCTTGACCACTTTTCTAATGTGAAGTTTATACGGAAAAGTCTTTTTCATTTGACGAGAGGTCGACCACAGTACCACGAATCTGATTGACATATTTTTACTTTGGCTCTTTTCACGGGACTGTTCTTGTAATGACAATGACGGAAATATATCTCATTCCCAGGGAAACACCACGAAGGTCCCCTACAGGAATACTGCGTTGTTTACTGATCATTTAGACACTTTAATCCAGAACACACCGAGTTGAAATGGTGAAAATTCGATTAGTCTAGCATCAGCTCTATTGTCATCATATTTCCTAATCAATTCAGATACAAACTGAATGGATTACATTTAACATCAGAACACAACAATGGAACATGGATTTTCAATGGATTACATATATCAATATAACGTGAACGTCAGAACATAGCCAGCCGACATGGATTCTATTGGATGTAAAGGCAAAATAGAAGTGAAAGGTACATGACTAACGCTTAGTCTATGAGTAAATACATCATGTTGATAGTAACAAATAATCCCATTTAAACTGAAAAGGAGCCCCAATGAGATGGGTGAGATCCTGTAACATATTCAGAGAGAGAGAGAGAGAGACTATTTTAGATTTTATTGGGTATTTGACATTTGAGATTTTATGCATAATTGCAAATATATTTCCTTCCTACTGTAATACTTGTGCCAGCGTGAGTACCATTAAAGATTCAGGCCTTGTGGATTATCAGTTGGTACATATGTCAATGTTCTAGACGGTTTGGATCCTACATTGTCGGTGTCCTGGTCGGTTATATTCTGTTCAAGAACAAAGACAAAATTGCACTACGCAAGTACTTATGGAATCATGTTATCGTCGACAGATATGGGTGAGACAAGTGTACAAGAAACCAGGACGAGGGCTTTATTTCAGTTTACTGTAAGAGAGAGACACGCAGAGAGACACCCGCGGCTGAAGTGTATTGACATATCAGTTCATCCTATGTCGCAAGACACATCCGTGATACGTATCGGTTTAAATATGGAAGGACATTCCTCGAGGTTACTCTTCTTCCGCGTGAACAGAAGAGGTCACTGGGCAACTTCTTACGTCACAACTGGTACGCGACAGGAATAGGGTGTGTTGAGCTATTTGTAGCTGGTTGCAGTACATTGTCAGGGCTTGGCAGTTGTAGGACTGTACATTGTAGGTTTACATTATATACTTGGATATGTAGTCATATTAGCCTCATACAATTTTTGCAGGATTTGTCAACAACTTAATCACATTTCTTTGAGATGCATTTTAGAAGTTGAAGGAAAACCAAATTCTATGGATAGACAACTTCTTTATTGCAATGAGTGCGACGTCTCGGTGTAGGTACCAACACCGTTATCAAGCAGGTAGCATATGGCGAGGGGATCCACTTTACTACAGAAGCTTCCTATGTAAGCTGAGACTCCACTGACGCACTACATTGAGTATGAGATTACAACATAACAAACTTCGTTTACCATCACTATTTGACAGTAATTCATGCACGGACATTTATGATATATTTGGAATCGTGCACTGGACAATGCTATCGGTTTAATTTAAGTTGATGTGATGTCTACGTATGATGTATGTACGCTCGAGTCAATACATTCAACTAAATGGTTCTCAATCTATGCCATTTCTGGAGTTTCCACGGAATAACGGCTTTCAGGTATGGAATTTTGGTGGTGGGATGAGAGGGGCAACCATCGACATGCACTTTTTGGGGTCTGTACACAAAAGTCATAACATAGGGATTCTGGGCCTGCTCACTTAGTATTGTGCAAGCCCATTCCCTTCAAATGGATATATGGAACCAAACCCGGGAATCCTATTATAGATATCGGCGTGATGAGCGAACGCCTTGATTGAAACCACTAGGCTACCCACTTGAGAAGTAAATCAACGAATGCATGTTGTTGTTTGAGGTATTGTGGGAAGTTTTATTATAGAACCCCGAAATGAGTTCGGAAGCTGGAGTTTAGTTTTAAGAAATATTCCAGTTCCTGATGGTTCAAGTAATGATGACATCATAGAACAGACCAATCATGAAAGAACAATGTATTTTAAATGGGCGTCCATTTTTAGCGTTGTCATTCAAAACAGATTCTATGGTGGCAAGTGGTTTAAGATTATATATCATTATTATATCTGCAGAGTCGAGGATATCGTACGGTGTGGTCTTAGGAATTGCTGTAGTTTGCGGTAGTACATCAACAAATCTTTTAGTTGACACATTTGTATTTCTCACTGTATTTTCATAATAATCTATATTCTTTCAGGCAAACTACACCCTTCCACAATTAATCTCACAAGATATGATAACTCAGTTACTTTAGGAAGCCCAGAATACAGAAATCCATTACCGCTTTTTCTGACGTTAAAATGATCCATGGAAATGTTCCGACATAGCAACAACTGTCACACTAAATGTTGATTGTCTCATTCATTGCCGACATGCTTCATTTCAGGATTGTCTCCCCTAGTTTTAAGACTTGCAAGTTTAAAGTTACTCAATGGCGACAGCAGCAAGTATTAACGTTACGAACCATGACGTCGGGACTGTCCAAATAGGAAACGGGAACACTGTCCTCAATTTCCCTGATGAAATCGACCTGAATTTGAACATGAAAATCAATAACCAAAGTGATGTCGTTAATTTCAACCCGAATATCACGGTAATGGTTGCTGATAAGAAAGAAGAACCCACATCCTGCGTTATTTCAGACGGAGATATAGAGGTCAAGGTCACGGATGTTCCAGACAGAGAGGTTAAAGATGGCATGTCCCCTACAACACCAGCAAGCTGGACAGAAAACATTGTTCAAACAGTCAGAAACATATTTTCTCTGAGATCGTACTTATATGGTAAGTTGGGTTTGCGTTAAAAAAGTGGTGAGTTCCACGCTATCTAATATTTGAATGATTTAGTTTGAAATATTTACTCTGAACCTAGTAATCTGACAGACAAAAGAATGTATACGCTCGTGTTTGGCGGTGGTTAAACATGAAACAAGCATTTGTCGTTCGATGGTGATGTATTATACGGGTACCACAATTATGTTTCGAATCTTAAGTTGGCAGAGATTTGGCCAAAGTTTTGATAACGTTTGTATTTCTGTTTTGTCAATCCAATTTTCCAATTATATAGTTTATTTGTTTACATTTTCATAACATAAATGTCTATAGGTCTTTGGTTTGGATCTCAGGGCGATTCACATCAGTTGATGTTTTTCAGGGGGAATATCGGAGCCATCAGATGACACCGTGACGATCCTGGACAGACACCGGGTGGTACTAGAACCAGGAGATATCGTCCTCGCAGACGCATTCGTGTTGTATTCAGGTAAACCCTTGTGTGATATATACCACGTGCCTCTCTTGTCGTAATCATCGTCACAGGTATCTAAATTCATCAGTGGAATGAGAACGTTTAATCCATTTTCTTCTTGTTTCCTCGAACCAGTCAGTAGTAATAACAAATATTGAATGAAGTGAGAAGTCTCGCATGACGTCAGGTCCCCCATCCTCTATAATCTACGTATACGTTACGATCACTCTCCACTATACCCTGGATGCATCGACGGCTTGGGGCGAGGATTTTATTACCTCCCTTGGCTGGCTCCGCATTCTCACAGGAGCCAATCAGCCGCCGCCGTTACAACCGAGCTTGTCAGTGTCAACAAAGATTGCGGTCGCATTTGCAAAGGTTTGTTCGCAGTGCCACTCAGATTTTTTGGGAAATAATTAAGACAAATTCACCGATCTGAAACTTTAAAAAGAATATATGAAAGAACTCCTTCTACTTGTTCACATCAATTGTGTTGCCAAGTTTAAACGGTTAGATAATTTAAGACGCGAAAGTGAGTAGTGATTGGTACGCTCAACTTCCCAGCGTAGGCACCTGACTGGATAAAAAGCCAAGGGAGGTAATAAAATCATCCCCCCAAGCCGAGGATGCATCCAGGGTATAGTGGAGAGTGATCGTAACGTATACCCTGGAGATTATCGAGGATGCAGGTCCCCCGTCTACTTGTGAAACCGGCGTTCTTCCATCTGTGCATTGTGTTGCAGGTGGAGGAACTATCCTGAGACGAGAACAGGACACAGGGATGGTCATCAAGACGAAGTTGGACGCAGACTCCGAGTTTGAAAAATGGGAATTCTGGTACCTATCATTTATAGTAGCATGCGCACATTTACAACAAATACACTGGCGAGTCAGGAAACAATATGATAATATGACACTATAATATGTATGTCATCTATTCTCATGCTAGGATAAGGGGGCACCAGTAATCAGTGTGCCCTTATTCATATTGATTGTTTGTTTGCTGTTTAACACCGCACTGAGCAATAGTCCAGCTATATGACGGGGCCTGTAAATAATCGAGCGTGGACCTGAAAATCCAGTGATCAACAGCATGAGTATCAATCTACGCAATTTAGATATGATGACATGTATCAACCAAATCTGACCACCCGATCCCGTTAGTCACCTCTTACGACAAGCATGAGGTCATCGGCTAATACTGTTGAAGTACTGATGGCTGGCTGGCTGGCCGAGTTTGGCTTACGCTGCTTATAGCAATATTCCAGCAACATCACGGCGGGGGACACCAGAAATGGGCTTCACACATTGTACCCATGTGGGGATTCGAACCCGGGTTTTCGGCGTGACGAGCCAACGCTTTAACCACTAGGCTACCCCACCGCCCCGAAGTACTGATGGAGGGGCATATGTGATGCATGGCATTTCAAGAACACCAATAATCCGATATTTTATTACGCCGTGCAAATGATTAACACGTCCATGTCCCCACTTTGTCATTTATACAACATGCAATGACCTGGTCCCAGTCATATCACCTCATGGCTGACCCGTGAAGGTCCGGGTTAGAATGAGCCTACAGTAACCCATGCTTGTCGTAGGAGGCAGACTAACGGGATCAGGTGGTCAAGCTCGCTGACTTGGTTGACATATGTCATCTGTTCCCAATTGCAGGATCGTTGCTCATGCTGTTGATCACTGGATTGTCTGGTCCAGACTCGATTATTTACAGACCGCCGCCATATAGCTGGAATATTGCTGAGTGCGGCGTAAAACTAAACTCACTCACCTCATGGCTGCGTTTATTTAAGGAACACACGAGAGTATTACGACTTCTACACACCCTCAGAACGGATAACACGAGCCCACGGCATCCTGGACAGCGTCTTTAAGGGGTCGGACTGTGACTTCGTGTCCTGGTGCTATGCAGGGATGATGTGGGACGAGGTATTTACTCCTTGGCGTCATACCAACAAAATTGGCTCTTCTATGTGTCTATCTTACCGGGGCACACGTTTCCCAGAAGAAAAATTAATACTTAGGAGAAAAGGAAATGTCAAATATATGTTATACTTGAACTTCATCAGAGGAAATACAGGTGGCCCAATCGTGTTTTACGCCGCAGTTCGCTAAACAGAGCCGATTATGTTTCTATGTCTGTCACCAGATACACGTCTCTCTGGATAAACCAAAGCGGTTAATTACTGACACTAGTGTCATATCAGGCTTTCCCGTACATGAAGCCGACACGCCCTGGCTGGAATGTTGTTAAAAGTGATATTACCCATCCCTCTCACTAAATACTATCGTATATCGTATGCTAAATATGCTATAATGTCTGGTAAATGGACCAGAGAAGCCTTTGCAAAAATGTTTTGTGCTGGTTGGCTTTGATCGTCTTGGAAGGGTTTCCTTCATTCCTAAATCTTATTTGTGTTTAGTTGTTTTAACCTGTGGGACCTGTGACTCACGGTATTCCAAGGCATTGAGTGTAGACACGCACGCACGCACGCACGCACGCACGCACGCACACACACACACACGCGCACCACCCCGATCTAGTTTAATCTCATCAGAGATGGTCATCTCCGGTTTCATCCGTGAAGTATTGGCGGCTATTTGATGCCTCAATCAAAGAATGGGTTCGAGAGTGAAGGCGGTCATCCCCAAAAGGCGGGACCACCTCCGTGGTGTAGTGGTTAGAGCGTCCGCCCGGAGTACGGAAGGTCGCGGGTTCGATCCCCGACCGCGTCATACCAAAAGACGTTAATATATGGTACTTGTTGGTCCCTGCCTGGCGCTCGGCATTAATGGGTACAACAAGGACTGTTCGGCTCGGAGTCAGTATAATGTGTCTGAGTGGGGTATTCATGCTTCACTACGGCATGGTATCTCAGTGGGCTAGCACTATAAAACCAGCTTCAGTCTGGGCTAGTACAAGCAGCCGCACATACACATACACACGCATGCACGTCGTCATATGAGCGAAATATTCTCAAGCACGGCGTTAAACCCAATTCCACCACCACCACCCAAAAGGCGGTAATCCTAAATATGACATGCAACCATGACCATTTTCTAAAATGCTTTGTGTATTCACAATAATAGAGTGCTGGTCAACTCCTTCAATTCCAATCCAATAATTAAGAGTTAACTTGAATCTTATAATTACAATTTCGTTGTTACGCAACAAAAACGACTGATCGCATAACGTTTTTGTTGCCATGACGACGATGATTACATATTCATGTTACTTCTGTTTACAGGCACACTGCAATGGCTATGCGTTATACTGTCGGTAGTAACCAAATCACCATGGGAACGAGAAGACGGATGAAAGTTAGCTGTGAACAGAAACATTAGTGGTCGAATGCTAATTTCACTACATCAGTAAAGTGATGAGGAGTGTGTTCATTGTTTGTTTCAAGAACGTGTCATTGTGAATTCTTAATAGCTTCCCTTGAGAATCTGGTCCGTACAGAGGTCTTTGGCTGAGCGCAAGGATTTCAGGGAAGGGGGTGAGCCTGATCTTTGACAGAGGTCTTTGGTTGACTGCAAGGATCTCTGGGAAGGAGTTAAGCCTGGTCTCTGACAGAGGTCTTGGCTGACCGCAAGAATTTCAGGGAAGGGGGTGAGCCTGGTCTCTGACAATTACATGGAAGGTTTAGTGTCATTTGTACATAAGCATTGTTTCAATTTATCAAAACCTTCACATTTATATGTATATTTTGCCAAATAAACATTGTTGTTATTCAAACAGAAAGAAACAACATGTTTTCATTTTGCTGGGTTTAGCGACCGAATGGCATGTATTGCTGTCCGACTGTCTGATCAGCTCTGCCCACTTAGTATCTTAAGGCTTAATTAGAATTTTGTTGTCCCCTAACAGTTTTATTGCATACTTTCATCCTGCATTGTTTTATTAAAGATTATCTCGTAGATTATTCATGAATGGTACTATTATTTTCACAGTCTGTACACATTCATTTTCTATATTGTTCAACCTGATTTATCGTGTGTAGAAAACCTTCGCTTTTGTCTTTCTCTCTTATTGCAATCGACTAAGCAGATAGTTCGGTCGTCATGGAAACCACCCGTTTCCAATGTATGTTAGCATTGGTTCACTTGAAACCACGCTGATTGATATGAAATAACAAAGACACGAACAAATCGCACCTCTCTCCATGTATATTAATCCTTGAATAAATTTCTCTTCGTGAAAAGAAGCTGCAAAACCCTTTCAACATCCATAACAAATCTCTGCTTAAACCAAAGTCGATTGTACATTTCCGACTATATAATAAGCATGTGTTTATGAATCGCCAATAAAAAAAGATGATGTCTGGTGTTAACGAATACAGGGTCTAGTAGAGGCGATCGCATCATTATCAAGTTAGTAACCAACACCTAGACTGTACATATACAATATATGCACACGTTCATAATTTGAACGAAATGATTAGTGTTGATTACCCTCAATTGGACGTAAGTTTGTGATCGGGAGATTTGATTGCTGTGGGGTCGTCCTCATCCTTGACACGTGACTCTTTAGACACCTTGCCCCTGCTCCACAACAACACTACCAGGTTGCCTACTGGAGCCACACACAGAAGATGGAGCAGGAACGCTGCTGACAGGGCGTAGAAGGTAACCCAGGTGTAGGACGTCACCTGTAACATAGTTAACGTGCATACCTGGCGTATACCCCCGGAAGCTTCAGTTCAGAATACCAATGCAAACAGCTTTGCACATCCAATACTGAGTGTCATTTTGGATGTGGGTTCTAAAAGTATATGGTATGATACTAGAATTTCTTTCACATAAATATGTTAGTATTCCTCCAGGCTCTTATATGAACATGTATAATATTTATGATACATTAAGACCCTTACATGGATATGTATTAAACTTACAGCCTCCCACAAGAATAGGTATAACTATGTTCAATACATTAAGGCCCCTTCAAGAATATGTATACATATGTATAATACATTGAAGCCCCTTCAAGAATATGTATAAATAGGTATAATACATTGAAGCCGCTTCAAGAATATGTATAATACATTGAAGCCCCTTCAAGAATTTGTATAAATATACTACTATAACACTCCCAGATGAAATATTGGTTATAACTTGAGGCTCCCAGATGAATGAATAACTCACTCACTCCCAGATGACTATTAATTGAACCTTAAGACTCGTGCATGAAAACCTTCCGGCAGGGATTGCTACGTGTGCTTGCTGATCCTACAGGTATATGCTACCGTATTTTGGAGACTTGTATGTATATGAACACTCCAACAAGGAAACTTTTGTACATGTATTGCACGTTCAAGGTCCTCTGGAACACTCATTGAGTAGTGCACGTGTGCATGTTTCCTCCAACAGAAAGACAGACCGTTTTTCATGCATAATGTTCACAGTATTTGTTTCCTCTTGTCAATGTAATTTCAGAAAGCATTATTTGTTGGTAATAATGTAAGGAATAGGTACTAAGGCCACAGCCCATGTTCTAAGTTGTAGGTCTGACAATAACCTAAACATTATGGAAAATAATTAAACGTTATTACATGTGCATGACGTCTATGCGTATAAACAATGTACATCAGCAGTGCACCATCTGCGTTAGTTGCATGCAAAGTTTCAAGGAGACAAGTCAACATATATTGAGCTCTGTAACATTAAACAAAGCACATCCTAAACTGAATCCAAGTGTTTATCAAGTGCTAACAAAATATAAAACATGTGAAAGAAATATTTCTCCCAATGTATCAAAAGGCATCATTTAGCTGTCTGGATGATATACATGCGACCGTTAATGATTGAACAATAAACGTTTTTCAGTTCAACTTTGGAAAAGTGAGAAAACAATGCCGAAGGCTATTGATCATAGGCGGGCGCTCATCATAGGTACAGTGGTCGTATATACTGAAGGAAACAAATAAGGGAACACCACATCATGGCAGTGTTCCTTTATTTATTCTCAGATTTTCCCCCACAGCTATACTCAAAGCTGGTGATGAAAACTGGAAAATATCAAAGGAACCACTTGAATTTTCATGTGTTCCTTTATTTGTTTCTCTCAGTATATGTATATGTTTGTCAAGCGCACCAGAGGAATCACCCTAACTATTTAAACAACCGCTCTGTTGTGTACGTTACAAACCGTATCAAACCACGTGTTGTGGCAGTTGTCCTGTAATCTGGCGCTGTAGACGTGACCGACAGCGATGCGGGTGAGGAAGGAGCTGTAACCTAGCTTACTGAGGGGCACCATCACCTTCCACGACAAAAACTGGTTGATGACGCCTGCAGATAAATATATGCAGGGAGTCGGAATTACATAAAACGTTATCTAGTTTTCATGTTTAACACATTTCTCAACTTTGTTGCAGCTATATGATGGCGGCCTGTAATAGCCATGACCAGACAAGCCAGTGATTTACACGGCGACTTCCTTTGGAAACTTACCGTGAACACCTAGATAGCTTTTCCCTCTCCATACAACAATTTGTAACATTCACTCACACGTATACATTCGTGACCAACTCGTGTTATTCCGGGACTCGAATAGCCGAATAGCGAGACTCTTCTTGCAGGTTACGGAAAGGGGCGAGTGGTGACGCTTGCAGGTTACGGAAAGGGGCGAGTGGTGACGAATGACACGTATAGTTATTAGATATATAAGAGGCGACGTACAGTTCACAGTGGTACATATATGCAGAAATCCGCAAAATTCCCCTGCTTTTTTAATCAATTGAACTTTGTTGAAACTAGTACGCACGCGCGCACACACATACATAAAACTGTTTTCTATTACACTATTGTCAAAGATGACCTCTGAATCTAATGAACATTTCTTATCAAGTTTCTGATTTCAATGAAACGTGACACGGATTCTCCAGGGAGTACGTACCTCCGTTACCTGTACAACAGGCGATGACGATCCACCCAAAACTTAATGTCCACAACACCTTGAATACCGGTTCATAGTAGAAGCCCAGGGTGTCTCTGATCAACGCTGTACACGTTAAACTCTCCCCGAAAACATGGAAGAAAATGACGCCAAGGGCACAACTCCAAGCGATGATCTGTGTTATCTACCGTAACAAAGGCCGATTCAAGTAACTTAAGTGAAATTTGAACAAATACAACGTCAACACAATCTCAAACCGGAAAATATAATTGAATACATCATTTTCAACCATTCGCAGGGATAGTCATATCAAACCATTCCAGCACATGCACAGAAGAAACAATATATGAAAGTGGATCGGACATCAATTTTGTCACTGATGAGGCAGATATGCCCTGAACAGTATGCGCCACCGGACCTAAAATGTGAAATGTAGACACCAGAGATTGGAACTGCTGGCGAAAAGGGAAGCTTGCTGTTATAAAGCATATTGTGATGTAGTTTTGTGGATCTTCTTCGGTAATTTTATTTTATTTTATCGGTAATTTTGTTTTTTTGTTGTTTGTATGTTTAAATTTATGGTGGATGTCATCTTGAATTATGTATGCACAGATGGAAGTATGGAAATCTCTAAGCATAAAGAAACGGAGGAAAGCACATCTTTCACCAATTTGTTATCAAACCCACTTGCAAAAATACCATCCCTAAATTCCATAAAGTGAGTGTCAATGAGCATGTCAAGCAATTGCTTTCTCAGTAAACTTTAGATGAAAAGTATTTTCACTTATGACAAAATTCCGAGATCCTTTGAAGACAGAGATGTAACAACTTCCATGGTCACCAACGTTTTGTGATATATACTCCATAAATAAAGCAATGAAGTTTTCCTTATAGATTTGTCTCATGGGATGGTGGTTTACAAAGTTATAGAATATATTTTTTATTACAAACTACATTCGTTTTTAAGCAAGCAATTCTACATGTCACAAAGAGTCTGAGAGAGCCCTTTCTTGGTTTTATTAAGGATTATGATTAATCTTTGATGTATTCCAAATTACATATATTACTTTTATACACATCTTTGTGAACTATCTCGATTTCCCTGCCAAAGATTGAGCAGCATATATGTCATTCAGATGCAGAGTTACATCATATGTTTACACATTAATTTAACTGCCTTCAGAGGATACCTCTTAGGATTAACACATACTTCTCATGTCTTCACGTCTTTTAGTTGGTTCTAGACACCAAGCCGTATAAATGCGGGGGGCCTTGATAGTTTCATCTTTAATAGCGAGGCATATTTGACCTCCAAAATCCTTAACAGAAAATGAGGCCCGTGTCAGACAGAAGGAAGCACATTTTGAATAAAAAGCAGATACGGTGATGATGAAATTTGCACACCTACCTTGCGTAGTGCAATTTTGTCTTTGTTCTTGAACAGAATATAACCGACCAGGACACCGACAATGTAGGATCCAAACCGTCTAGAACATTGACATATGTACCATCTGATAATCCACAAGGCCTGAATCCTTAATGGTACTCACGCTGGCACAATTATTACAGTAGGAAGGAAATATATTTGCAACTATGCATAAAATCTCAAATGTATTATACCTAATAAAATCTAAAATAGTCTCTCTCTCGATCGATCGATCGATCTCTCTCGATCGAATATCACAGATATAACTGTAAAACTAGTATGAAAATCTAAAAGATCTTAACTATGAAAGACAAAAAAAGTTGCTATTGATCGCCAACAACTGAAAGTAGATCATCATACTAGCTATAGGGACCACGGGGACATAAAGTATGCAATTAAACATAATGTGTTTTGAAATTTGCAGCTGTCAAAACACAGAGACTTAATCCCAACGGTCTATACGATATGCCCTACAACATAGGACCCGCAATTTGAACCAAAGCCAAAAATATTTACGTATTGACTTAGGAAAGCATATTTGTATTTTTAAACACTCCATAATAGTAAAAGTCAAAAGTTTGTACATGCCTCAGGGACTTATAAATAGTTTCACACATACATATTGTACAGTTAAATTGCTGCAGTACGGAAACAAACCTTATCCTCATATCATGTTTGACATTTTGCCCCGGAAGCCCCCCAAATACTTAATGATCCTAATAAATCCTCATCAACAAAAGAATATATATTGGCAATTGATGAGATATGCTCCGCTAAAGAACTCTTCCCTATTTGGAACTAAGATAACATGTTGCCCTGGAAACGCATTTAAAAATAAAATGATTTATATAACTGTTGAATAATTTGAGCAAGATTTGACCACTCAGACCCATTGAAACACCTCTATTGCAGCAACCCGAGACACAGCAGCACGTCTCAGGCTTCGTAATTGTACCGCTTTTGAAACAGACGGTGCAAGAAACATGGAACAACAGCAATATACCGGAAGTACACGAAGTATCGTAGTGATTGGCCATCTATTAGCGAATTGGTAAAGGCGGATAACTGGGGAATATTCCTTATTATCTCCCCTAACAGATTCCAGAGGGCGCACAGGGCCATATAACGAATGGATCACACAAAATCAGTGGCGACACCAGGTGTTTCGGATAGCATGTCATGGTCTCCCGGTAGCTATGTTACTGTGTGAATGACTACATTGCTTTCCACAATATTCCAGCAATATCACAGCGTGGGAATACCAGGATAAGGCTCCCCACATTGTATCCGTACTTGAAGTAGCAGTGGCTTTCATGACAGTGTCTTCTAATTGGCACGGGGGCTGTGGGGTATTCAAGTTAAAACTTGGCCCGGGTTCGATTCCCCACATGGGTACAATGTGTGAAGCCCATTTCTGGTGTCCCCCGCCGTGACTTTGCCTGAATATTGCTAAAAGCGGCGTAAAACCATACTCAGTCAGTCAATCTAATGGGCACGTTTGCTATTGTTATTCAAACATGTTCAAATACGACAGAAGCAGACATTCCCTCCCAACTGTACGTCCCGGGGATCCCTACCACGTTCACATACCTTCTACCGAGCAGGCGATGCAGTACAGAATCGTGACGAAACTTTAATTCACTCACAAGGAAGAAGGACGCACTCGCAAAGACTGACAAGATTAACCCTGGGGTTGGTGATCTTGAATAAATGCAATATGATTAAAGAAAACGAAACACTGATGCAATGTAATCATATTACATGATTTATAACTTGTTAACATTGCATTATAATGGCCAATAGTGTTATATATGTTTTCTGACTCTATTACTGCACAATTCGTACTAATGGTTAATATGATTCCTAACGTGTTAGAATCTCACCTATGTTACGAGGACACGTCTATTAGCATTATAGTCTTTTTAATGCGAAATATTCGTAAACAGAAATTATAAGGACGAATATATATATATATATATATATATATATATATATATATATATATATATATACACACAATAACTGTATGTTACTACAGTAATTAACAAAAGTACATTATAAGTCTACTGATTGAATAATCCACGATGCACTCACAATATGAGGGGTTGAAAAATCAGTGGACTTGCTAAAGCATACATCAAATCCATCCTTCTTGACAACACCTGAGGCAAACAGTCCCGATGCTAGAACAGGAAGCGTAACATCTGTTTAGATCTCTTGTGATCCTACATAAGTTGACAATGCAGTCGTTGCAACATCATGGGCATTTTTTAAAAATATTGATGAAAAACCTCATGGTGAATACACAATGGACAAATGCAACATATGTTATATATTTCCTCGGTAAAGCACGGATTCTTGGGAGGGTGGGGGCTCCATCCGCACTTTACTGAGAAAGTGTAATTCTGGTATGTGTACATTGTAACAGATTTGGTCATAATTTATGTATTATCATTGCAAGATAACCACACAAGCGGTAAATAATGATTAACTCTTGAAGGATTAACACTTGCAGTGGCAATGAATAAAGCCGGGGTAATAATCTAATAATATTGAGGCAGTCTCGAACAAATCGAGGCTAAACTAACCAATCCGTGCCATCGGGTAGGAGGACACTATTAGCTTATCACACGTTGTACCTGGGTCCTCTTGCTCAAAGCAGTCTTAGCAGTGCCATGATCGTGACACTTCTAACATGGACTTAGATAGTTGCAGCGCTAGCATTCTTTGTGTATGTGGACTCGAAGAATATGGATTCTTGCAAGCTGTTCTGCGTGGAACGTCGCAATAAAGTCTTACCGGAACATCGTGTATTTTAATGGGCGTGGCGTACGTCCACCACGGTAAGCAGTTTCGGAATTTCACGTCTTGAGATCCGTTGTAAAAATAGGGTAGGAATGTGGTCAGTATCAGCAGGACGAGGATGGCTGGGGGTGTGGCTCTGAAAGTATTACACAAACAGTAAATTGGTTGTGAGAAGCCAATTTGTGGTGTCCACCGCCGTGAAATTGACGGAATATTGCTAATAACGGCGTAAAACCACACTCACACTTACTCAGTGGGAAAGCATGCTCGTATTAATGCTAGAGGAGCGATCAAACAGACTATCCGGAGTTGCGTCCCTTAGCCCTCGCAGGTTCCGTTGATCGCACACTGCAATCTCTAATTCAGCAGACCATGATATTTTTCTCTGTCAGCGACCAGCCTCCCTTTGAAATTCCATCCCGCAATAAACCCAAATGTCTGAAATTCTACGAACATAAATATTGGTCGGAATTATCCGAATACTGCGAACGTTTTGCAGTGTGATGGAGCTGAAATGCAGTTCAACGTAAACTTGACCCAACTCTCTGACTCATTCATATACACAGTCTCCTTTTGTGAGTGAGTGAGTGATTATGGTTTTACGATGCTATTAGCAATATTCAAGCAATATCACTGCGGGAGACACCAGAAATGTGCTTCACACGTGGTACCCATATTGGGAATCGACCCCGGTTCTTCGGCGTTACGACCCAACGCTTTAACCACTAGGCTACCCCACCGCCCCAGTTTCCTTTTGTTATTGGTACTGTTTGACTATAATTTGTCTTGACACTAGCAACAGCAGTGCTTACCGCAGATATCTTTGTAGATACAGCTTCTTCCAGTCTATTTTCCCTTTCTGCTTTTGTTCCAGACTGGTAAGTGTTATCTGTAAACCACTGAAATATCAAAATAACATCTTGAATGACTTTCATAAAGTGAGTGAGTGAGTGAGTATGGTTTTACGCCGCTTTTAGCAATATCGCGGCGGGGGACACCAGAAATGGGCTTCACACATTGTACCCATGAGGGGAATCGAACCCGTGTCTTCGACGTGGCGCGCCAACGCTTTAACCACTAACCTACTCCACCGCCCACTTCCATAAAGACTACATGTGTGCATACACTTATATACTCTAGGTGTACATTATATTTTCAGTAATTTAACTATTCTGTATGAAGCAGTAATATCCTAATACATGTACTCAATATTTACATTTAACTGAATTTCTAAAACAGTGTCGCCCACAGAAAAGTCTCAACGAATAGGTGTCCAAGTAGTGTATACAACGATAGAGTTGTCGTTAGATGTTGGAGATAAATGACAAATGAGTGATTACCTCATAACATAGGACGACTCCGACAGATAACCCCTTACATATGGTCTCAGAATTCTCCATGGCAACGGCAGAGCTACAGCTAACCCTTTCGTTGCGACTTTATCTGCAACAACGACACACGTATTCAATATCTGAAACTGTGATATTTAAAGCATCGACAAAAGTGATACATTTATCCAACATATGACGCACGTCAACAGAATATCTAAATGTATATCTAGATATAACTAGGAAATAGGTTTGACAAATCTGTCATGTCAGGCGTCAAGGTCAAGGTCGACCTCCAGGTCATAATTGAAGAACGGTTTTACTGTAGGTGAAACTTGGTACATGTATTTCTTCCGGCAGGGTCGATATTAAGAAAGGTCATGACTCAAGGTCGTATGCTTGAAGCGGGTATGTTATTTGTACACTTCGTTTTCAACCGGGTGGAAAGCTGCTGAACTGTCACTAATTCCCTTAGACTTTTGATTGGTTCATAGAGTAGTACCTTGTTCCAACTGGTAATATAGACAACCGTGACAGTTTGCGACCTTTGACATTAAAATCCAAGTCGCTTGGAGATTTATGATCACGAAAAGCTATCTCTCGAGAACGTCACTTCAAGATTTTGTCTGATGTTAACATACCAAGGACACTCCAAAAGATAGTGTTGAAAACATAGTTTTTAAGCGTACAGGAGTTATGTCCCTTTGAATATTTGTTCGCGAATGTTCGTCTGCGACAACAATAATGGCAGGGCGCCGTGCGTTCCAAACCGTTGCAGAAATAGAAGAGAAACGGATTCTCGAAAAAATGGTTCTGGAAAACACACCAAACAATTCTTAAGGGTAATGAATTTATTACACGTCCCTTTACCAGGTGGGGCGGTGGGGTAGCCTAATATCTTCTGAATATGGAAATAGTTATTCAATAGCTAGTAGAACACTATGATTGAAATAGGAAATATCTGGAGAATATGCTAACACCGTGAACAACAAGTGATAGTCATAATCCAACTGCCATCATCTGGTTGGACCCTCATCGCATGCATGAACCAACAGTCAACAAACAAAATCCAATCCAAAAGAGGTTCGGCCATAAAAAACATCTTGTTGACTACACACGTCTGTTTGTTTGTTTTTTACGCCACACTCAGAAAAAGTCCAGGTAAATGGCGACAGTCGGTAAATTATCGAGTCTAGACCAGTCAATCAGGTGATCAAAAGCATGAGCATCGATCTATTGGGATACGATGACATATGTCAACCAAATCAGCGAGCCTGACACCCTATCCCGTTAGTCACCTCTTACTACAAATATGGGGTGCTGGAAACCAATTCTACCCCGGATCTGCAAGGGTAGACTAAACACTTACCCAGAGTTGACGCATGCAGGCGGCTGAAGAGAATCCAGAGCTGGGAGAATGTACGGATACCATTGAGACATCCGAGTCTGTCCGAGGACACCGTGACATCGAATAGTTTCAGGGTGTTGGTATACACAGAGAAGCATTTCAGAACTCTACACCAAGTCACTGGAAAAGAAGGGGGAGTATATGTACACAATATACTACAGTTGCTTGAACGCTTATTTCAGTGGTAAGAGGCAACTTCCAGAGACTGTTATTGTGTATTGGTTCATCAAATACGCTGAATCGAAATCCAAGTGCGATGTAGGTAAAATGGTCTTATTCCATTTTCCTCTTTTCGGTTGGTTTGTTGATAACGCCGCACTCAGCAATATTTCAGCTTTATGAAGGTGGTGTGTATATAATCGAGTTTAGACCAAACTATCCAGTGATCAAGAGCATGAGTATCGATCTACGCAATTAGGATACGATGACATGTGTCAACCAAGTCAGCGAGCCTGACCACCCGATCCCGTTAGTCGCCTCTTACGACAAGCATGGGTCACTGAAGATCAATTCGTACCCGGATCTTTTCGGGTTCACACAAATGATGAAGACAAAAAGAGTTCAACGCCACGTGGTCAGGGATTGATCTTGGCCTAAATCATCGGGGACAAATTTTATCATTAAGCTAACAATAGCTGGGCAGGCCGCCTCCGCAGGCAGTGTGGGTTGCTGAAGACCAATTCTACCGTGATCGTCACGGGTATCATTCATTTAATAAGGATCGGGTAAACATTCACAACCAAGGATGGTGGTCCTGAACATGGTTTGTATGTAGCCAAAACCACTTAATGTCTGAAACCCATGAAGATCCGGGTTAGAATATTGATCTTCAGTAACCCATGCTTGTCGTAAGAGGAGACTTACAGGATCGGGTGGTCAGGCTCGCTGACTTGGTTGACAACATTTCATCGGTTCCCAATTGTGCAGATCGATGCTGTTGATTACTGGATTGTCTGGTCCAGACTCGATTATTTACAGACCGCCGCCATATAGCTGGAATATTGCTGAGTGCGGCGTAAAACTAAACTCACTTACTCACTCACTTAATGTCTGAACGATGTCATTGGCTCAGGTTTGATTGTCATTTACCTATGTTTACAAATGTGAACACAGGGTTGATCTATTGTTTCATGATGACAACCAATGGTGATTCCTAACTTAGGTAATACACACAAACTTACTACGTTGCATATAGGTTGTCATAGAAACTGACAATGCGGGTCTAGTACGGATCGCTACATCAATAGTTGTCCCCATCACCAGCATGGTTACAAGACCCAGCAAGAGAGTTCTGAAAAGTAACAAAAGCATAATTATATTCATGGTCACATACTAGCGTAAGTCTATTTGGGAAGGTTTAGGTAAAGGAAGTTATTGAAAGGCATTTAGAAGTTGGACGAACATGACACGTTTTTACCGATATAACATCAGGTGTATGCACAAAGTGAATAAACGAGGATATTGAGAAAACTGTTTTTAATGTTAATGGTACACAGCTACAAATATTCAAGTGAGACGCTAGGTACTGATCATAATCTTATCAAGTAAATGCAACTCACATGACAAGCTTTGTTTGTAGATCTCTGCGCGGTTGTCTGGGACGAAGTTTCTCTGTGACGGTGGCGCCATGTCGAACGGCTGCAATCGAAGGTAACCGGAAATGACAGATACATTTATTAAGAAGATAAACATGCTGTCCTTCCAGACAAACTGAACGCCCAGCGTGAGGTTTCACATGTTAAATTAGACCGGTTAAATCTACAGGTAACCAAGTTGTTTGTTCTACCGTTAGAAAACCAAACATGACCTCTTTGATCTTGCCGAACATACTGAGCGAAGCAGCATTGGTTGAGGCCAATGAGTCCAATTGTGGGGAAGTGGGAGGGGTTTAGGGGTTGAAGGTTGAGGCTGAAAGACCCTACATGTGCTCCAGCAAGCAAACGCTATTTCTTAATGTTATAATATGGTAACCTAACAGCTGTCATCCTTTTTCAGTAAAAGCAGTGTTTGAAATCAGCCAAAAACCCAACCAGACATGGATTTAACTCGGCCAGACACTCTAAAGGTCAGTATTCAGATGTATGGAACATGTTATCTAAAATATTTACCAGACCATCGGGCTGGCTAGCTGTAAATTCAGATCGTCCGTCAGAAATCTAACCCGTCTCGGGCGGTCGGACGGGTCTTATTTCATACACTTGCAAAAGGTAATTGTTATCGCGATTTCAAGACTCTTATTTTCAATATAAAATCGGGAAAACTCCGCCGTAATTCGTCGCACACTTTTGTCAATACAATTTAATATGATGAAGTAGCGCAGGCCTGTCTTACAGTATCAATTGTATATAGCTCTGTACACACATGTTGTCTTTCCAAATACATTATCGATCCTCGTTTAGATTGGGAAAATATATGAATGATTACCTTTGTTGGGGATTGAACCGTACTCGTTTAGATTGGGAAAATATCTGAATGATTACCTGTGTTGGGAAGTGAACCGTACTCCTTTAGATTTGGAAAATATCTGAATGATTACCTTTGTTGGGAAGTGAACCGTACTCCTTAAATTGGGAAAATATCTGAATGATTACCTGTGTTGGGAAGTGAACCGTACTCCTTAAATTGGGAAAATATCTGAATGATTACCTGTGTTGGGAAGTGAACCGTACTCCTTTAGATTGGGAAAATATCTGAATGATTACCTTTGTTGGGAAGTGAACCGTACTCCTTGGATTGGGAAAATATCTGAATGATTACCTGTGTTGGGAAGTGAACCGTACTCCTTGGATTGGGAAAATATCTGAATGATTACCTGTGTTGGGAAGTGAACCGTACTCCTTTAGATTGGGAAAATATCTGAATGATTACCTGTGTTGGGAAGTGAACCGATTACTCCTTGGATTGGGAAGGGAAAATATCTGAATGATTACCTGTGTTGGGAAGTGAACTTTGAGATTGGGAAAATATCTGAATGATTACTCCTTTAGATTGGGAAAATATCTGAATGATTACCTGTTTTGGGAAGTGAACCGTACTCCTTTAGATTGGGAAAATATCTGAATGATTACCTGTGTTGGGAAGTGAACCGTACTCCTTTAGATTGGGAAAATATCTGAATGATTACCTGTGTTGGGAAGTGAACCGTACTCCTTAGATTGGGAAAATATCTGAATGATTACCTGTGTTGGGAAGTGAACCGTACTCCTTTAGATTGGGAAAATATCTGAATGATTACCTGTGTTGGGAAGTGAACCGTACTCCTTGGATTGGGAAATATCTGAATGATTACCTGTGTTGGGAATGATTACCTGTGTTGGGAAAATATCTGAATGATTACTCCTTGGATTGGGAAAATATCTGAATGTTTAGTGAACCGTACTCCTTTACATTGGGAAAATATCTGAATGATTACCTGTTTTGGGAAGTGAACCGTACTCCTTTAGATTGGGAAAATATCTGAATGATTACCTGTTTTGGGGGAAGTGAACCTGAATGATTACTCCTACTCCTTAGATTGGGAAAATATCTGAATGATTACCTGTTTTGGGAAGTGAACCGTACTCCTTTAGATTGGGAAAATATCTGAATGATTACCTGTGTTGGATTGAAGATTGAACCGTACTACCTGTGTTGGGGATTAGATTGGGAAAATATCTGAATGATTACCTGTGTTGGGAAGTGAACCGTACTCCTTTAGATTGGGAAAATATCTGAATGATTACCTGTGTTGGGGATTGAACCTTACTCCTTTAGATTGGGAAAATATCTGAATGATTACCTGTGTTGGGGATTGAACCGTACTCGTTTAGATTGGGAAAATATCTGAATGATTACCTGTGTTGGGAAGTGAACCGTACTCCGTACTCCATAAATTGGGAAAATATCTGAATGATTACCTGTGTTGGGAAGTGAACCGTACTCCTTTAGATTGGGAAAATATCTGAATGATTACCTGTGTTGGGAAGTGAACCGTACTCCTTAAATTGGGAAAATATCTGAATGATTACCTGTGTTGGGAAGTGAACCATACTCCTCAAATTGGGAAAATATCTGAATGATTACCTGTGTTGGGAAGTGAACCGTACTCCTTTAGATTGGGAAAATATCTGAATGATTACCTTTGTTGGGAAGTGAACCGTACTCCTTGGATTGGGAAAATATCTGAATGATTACCTGTGTTGGGAAGTGAACCGTACTCCTTTAGATTGGGAAAATATCTGAATGATTACCTTTGTTGGGAAGTGAACCGTACTCCTTGGATTGGGAAAATATCTGAATGATTACCTGTGTTGGGAAGTGAACCGTACTCCTTTACATTGGGAAAATATCTGAATGATTACCTGTTTTGGGAAGTGAGCCGTACTCCTTTAGATTGGGAAAATATCTGAATGATTACCTGTTTTGGGAAGTGAACCGTACTCCTTTAGATTGGGAAAATATCTGAATGATTACCTGTGTTGGGGATTGAACCTTACTCCTTAGATTGGGAAAATATCTGAATGATTACCTGTTTTGGGAAGTGAACCGTACTCCTTTAGATTGGGAAAATATCTGAATGATTACCTGTGTTGGGGATTGAACCTTACTCCTTTAGATTGGGAAAATATCTGAATGATTACCTGTGTTGGGGATTGAACCGTACTCGTTTAGATTGGGAAAATATCTGAATGATTACCTGTGTTGGGAAGTGAACCGTACTCCTTAAATTGGGAAAATATCTGAATGATTACCTGTGTTGGGAAGTGAACCGTACTCCTTTACATTGGGAAAATATCTGAATGATTACCTGTGTTGGGAAGTGAGCCGTACTCCTTTAGATTGGGAAAATATCTGAATGATTACCTGTTTTGGGAAGTGAACCGTACTCCTTAGATTGGGAAAATATCTGAATGATTACCTGTGTTGGGAAGTGAACCGTACTCCTTAAATTGGGAAAATATCTGAATGATTACCTGTGTTGGGAAGTGAACCGTACCGCAAATACCAACCTCGGTCCAAGTGCATCTGAAGTAAAACAATCAATCAAGAACCCACACCATCTATATTCTTTGTTTTGCGTCACTCAACCATATTCCAATAATATCACATCAGTCTGTCGCATAAATCAGACAACCCTTGCTTACAGTACGGAAGCCTTATAGTGTCATTTGCCTTTCTTCTCATTTTGTATGGAGCGGTGGGGTAGCCTAGTGGTTAAAGCGTTCGTGGCGTAAAACTAAACTCACTCATTTTGTGTGTGGAAATTTCAAGTTGAACCATGAATGATCGCATGAATCATTCTTTGGTTTCCTAGAATGATGTTTTATTCGTACGAGCGGCCTATGTGCAATGTATATGTCCTGTTTCCTTAGGAAAATGAATTTTCAAATTTCTGCATGTGTATTAAATGGACACAGAAAGGTCAACTTTGTGTTTTGCAAATTATACCAAAATGAACTGTATAATACTATTGTCATCTTCCCAATAGATTGAACTGATTTAACTTGAATATAATATACATTTCCCACGATGAGGAAAACGATTTAATAGGACAAATATGGAGTTTCTACCTAGCCATTCATGCGTACGCCACTAAATTAAAAAAAAAATGACAACAGCTTTTGTAATGAATGTTCTCTAAAGACCTGTTTGAATAGATTGGTTTCTGTAGGCGGGACTAAAGACTTCATGTAAGGATGGTATATATCAGGTTGCCTGCCAATATCCGACTTCTGACACTCTTGATACGGTCCCCACCCGACTGCTTTACTCCTCTCTTCTAAACCTGGTGCAGGTCCGTCCTGAACGGCTGAAATAACAATAACGTAGTAATAAGTACCATGACAAATGAAGCATTGGGGAGATGATAATTGGTATTCTGCATTCAAAACAACAGCGATGCCATCGCGCTAGTGTTATTGCTGTTTATTCTACACCACGAATTCATGGCCTTTGGGAACAAAATGTATAATTCATGAATTTATGATTTATAAAAACTAAGGCAACTCTTGGTCATTTAAAAGTTCATTTATAGCGGTCACCTGCAGTGATACCTGTAATATTTTATTTCCTGGTGAACGAACGAAAATCACGAATGCCTGTTAGAAAGACTTAGAGTTCAAATGCAGCATATGTTATACTTGGGATGACAGTTTCTCAGCACACTCTGAGTGTGTAGGCTAAATCCCGGATGGGACTTTATTGGGACGAATTACTATAATCTCTACTTTAGTGAGAACGTGTTATCCCAGACAAATGTATCATATGCACTCGTCTAAAATGAATGTGTCAATTGTGTATCACCTCAATTCTCATGTTGAAAATAGCCTATAAACCGTTCGCTCGTCACGAAGATCCGGGTTATTCATGGGTACAATGTTGAATCATTTTAGGTGTCCCCGCCCTGATGTTGCTGGGATATTGCTAAAAGCGGCGTAAAAGAAACTGAAAATCAGTTCGTAAAAGTACTCTGTGTAAAATCAACAAAGAAATGTGGAATAATTAACAATTCTATTCAAGAATTACCTACGTTTACAAATCTATAGACCAATGAACAATAAATGAGGTTCGAATTCACACACACAACTACCGGTATAACTTTAAAGTGAGATTACCGAGGCAAGAGTTATCTTCTCTCACATGCATAAACTTCCAGAACTTTCTTTCCCTCACTCTTTGGGTCAGATTACACTGGAACGTTCAGGAATATGCCTAACAATTCCCAAACCAGTCTTGTCTCCCTGTTTAAATATAGTAACCAGACCTCCACTGAACCTTAATAGACACAGCCAGTCACCGCCATTAACACCAGCAGCAGCACCGAAATAATAATAACCAACCAATAAATCAAAATATTATTATAAAAATGCCGAATGAGTTGAAAGTAAATGTGTAAAAATATAATTGAAACCAAATATATACTCAGAAGTGTCATTATTATTATTACTAATTAGAGATACAGTTTAAAAGAGAAACATGACCATTTGCCATCCTGTTATCATTCGTTAACACTGAGGCAAAATCAACAACAGTTAATGTAAAACAAACATGTTCAATTTGAAAAATATATTTCCATGCTACGGATGATTTGGAAAAAAAATGTATCTTAATAATGCGAAATATAGCGATAGAACTTTCTGATTTTTAATGTTTATATAGCATTTTCAACATTTTACTAAAAGTATTGTATACTACAATTTTGATTTGATATCGTTCAATAATTATCAAATAGCCAATTCCTTCCACTGATTTGCCCACCTGAACTTGACAATAAGGAGACAGTGAGACCGTCTCGACTGTTTCATATTTAGATCAATGCTTAAAGATTCAGTGACAAAAGAAGCTCCCCACGAGGCTGTATGACAATAGGGATGATTTCAACTTTTCAATTGTCAACTTCCCTTTCATGTCGAGCAATATTCCAAAAGCTCCAGAGCCTTTTGAGGTACAATCGAGCACACTCTTTTTATCAAGATTTCAAAGAGCGTCATACCGGCGCGCCGCTCTTGGCCTGAATTTGTTTGATCAGAGTATCAACACTCAATGCCTCAGTAAAGCTTTCAAAAGATTTTATGGTTGACATGTGGAGGTCATTTCTAAATTTGATGCATCAGTGACAATTATGATGTCCGATCCAATTCCCTATTTTGACTTATACCATACGTTCCCAAATTATTTCAGGTGAACAATTGACTAGACAGCATATGTTTATGACGGTTGCCACTGGCGGGGAAGGATACGCTCACCTTTTCGCGAACACCTGGTATCATCACTAGTGATTCATAATCACATGCTCTGTCATCGCATTTTGACAATCACAGGATTGTCTGGTTCGGACTCGATTTGTTTGTATAAACAACATTATACAGCTGTAATACTGCTGGAACAAATATATGCTCATGATATAGTCACAAGTGTACAGTACGTCTCTGCTTTTAGCATAGATTTCGTATGAATGTGGGAATGGTTTTGTCACTTCTATTTATATTAGTTTAGGACCATTAGTTGAGTACCAGGGCATTGTTTCTGAGAATCACTCAAGAAGTATATCAGGTAATTTGCTGTTCAGCTTAAAAGACATTCGTTCCAGTATCAATTTTCCCCTTGTTCAAAGATGACATACACTTGTCCCACAACTGGTACAAGGAGTTGATTTGAGGTCGAATTGCGGTCGATATTTCTCTTTCAAGCATAACCGTTTCCCGATTTACTGGAAAAACTAACTTCAATGTAAGGCTTGAAAAAGAATGTGTTCAGAGAGAAAATAGTTTGGGAAAGAACCTTCTCCTACAACAGTCAAAAACCGCTAAACGCTGTGCACCATAGTACACGAAGCCCCAATGGTTGCTGCTCATCGAAGCAGTGGACATCCGCTTCAGAAATGGAACAGAATTCATCCACCATGACACGGCCAGTCAGGATACTTCTTGCACATATGTCTTTCAATATGTATGGAAATTCCAGCCGTTGCCATGGAAACTGAAATGTCTTTTGCGTTATATTTTCATATCAAATTCTTTAAGTGCCATACAGAAGCTGGTATGATGAAGAGGAAACACCTTTTTATGGATAGACAGCTTCTTTACTGCAATACATGCGACGTTTCGGTGTAGATCCTAAGACCGTTATCAAGCAAATGATACTTGATAACGGTGTTAGGATCTACACCGAAACGTCACATCTATTGCAGTAAAGAAGGTGTCTATCCATATAAAAAGTGTTTCCTCCTCGTTTCATATCCTCCTCGTTTCATGAGCTTGACTCTGTGGAGCATTGGATATGACCGGTTTAAGCATTAGAGTAGTTAAGAAGTTGGTTGAAGATGTAGGACATAATGATATGTAAAGGGTCCTTGAAAATAGCAACGTACTCGCTGTAGAAGTTCCTTATTTATATCTAACTACTGAAATACAGAAAGACAACAAAACAACATTTCTGTAATCAAAGGCAGGGTCCATTGTACGATTCTGACGTTATTATGAACATGTGTTTACGAATCACTATGTAACAGTAATTAAACCAGGTGTTCGCTAAAAGATTAGAGTATTTTGACCTACAGGCAAGTCATTTGTTCACCTGAAAAAAGAAACACGGGAATATCAAAATAAGGAAAGGCATCGGAACTCATGAATAAAATATGGAATGTCAAATGTGAAGATTCTACGTGTGGTGTCGGAATAAACGCATGGAGCTATGAAATATTGTTTAAATCCATTCTACTTACGTCGGATAGTACATTTCTGACCACCCTTGACGGTGTCAACACCATGAGTGGCACCAATGGACAATCGGTTGACCAATGAAGTCCCAGGAGTCACCAAATAATACTGAGACCCTTTAAGGAGGTCACAACCTTGTATTTGTGTTATCAGAGATAACACAACCGGTAAGACCAAGGACACATCCATTGCCATAATGGTGAACTACGTGCTGATACCTGAACGTATTGCACATACACCTGAGACAGGTTCAGCGACGGTAAAACATAAGGTAACATGTGCAAGGTATTATTTATACGCAGTTATTACGAAGTGTAACAGCTGTTGGGACAATCTCGACGGATGAATTCCAATGCGTGATTCATTGGAAGTTAATTATAAATTATGTTTTGTCAATATCCTTTCAACAATAACATTCACATCAAGACATTAAGCGATAATTTAAAAAATTACCACTGCCCATTTTTAGATATAGCTTCTAATGAAACCAGTTTAGTTATATACTATTAATTTAAGAGGAGCTGAAACACTATAGTTTATGTAAATAGTATTCCTGTCAATACTATATATTTCACATATGCTCCCCCTTAACCAACGTCATATGGATGGTGAATAAAACATGACAATATACCATGACAGATTACAAACTGTTGCAAAACGAATAAACGTTTGTACACAAATTAATTAGATGGAACATTGTGAAATAGGATTCGAATGCCAGAGTTGGTCTTGTAATTTCACTGGTATTGGTTTTGAAAAGGGCAATTGATATCTAATTCATGAATATGATTTATATTCATATATGGTTTTACAATTACTGAACGGGGCAGCTGTCACTTACTTTAGTTTTTCTCACATATCGGTAATAAGACCTCTTCAGTAAGACACATCTTATAACTGAGTGCACCGTCTTTTGACGTTAACCACATTTATTGTGAGGTTACAATTATGTTACTGAGCGTTTCATGTGTGGTTTGCTCTCCGTTCAAAGAACAATATCGAGGCACCAACTACACTATCTGCAGCCTAAACTAAACAGAGTGCCGAGGGGGCAAAAGAAAGTATACCGAATTTGGTTTGCATGGAACTCAAAGTTGAATAAATGTTCGTAAATTATAACTTAAACAACCCTCATTCCTGCTACAGTCAAACATATTCTTTGACTGGCTTATTTTACATAAATGTAAATTTTTTCAGCGAAGGGTAAGAAATCAATATACCCACCCCTTAATGTTTGAAAAGTACATTTGTGCCCCGTAAATGCAAATTCATTGAATTCATCAATCCATGCTGTTTGTAAGAGACGACTTATCTCCTTCTGATACGCGGGTTTCGGGGGTCTATTTAGAGTGTGGTATGCTATACATCGCAATATATATATACTGTAAGCCATTAAAAACGCAATTGGTATTTGTTGTCCTGAAACTTACAAAAGTTCTATTGAAGATTTTTTCCTGCGATACAGAGGATGTAGGGATAAAAGGCTGTTGTTCTGGCCCATTTCGAGTTGGAGTCCCGGAGCATTCCTCTCACATGAACTTTGATACTTAAAACTGAACCTTTGACATTTCTCGTAAACACAACCACATTCACGAAACACGTTGTGCACATGCATTACCTGCACCCAGGCCCCGTAAAAGCACAAGGAATTGTGGAACTCAATCACTTTGAGAAAATGCCACACTTGACACAAGACGAAAGGAATCAGGTTATCGGTATGGTCAGCCAAGGTGCTTCAGATGTGATGATTGCCAGGCACTTTAATGTGCATCCATCCACTGTAAGTCGACTCAGACAACGTTTTCGGGCTACCGGAAGTGTTGCTGATCGTCCGCGACCTGGTGCACCACCTGTGATAACAGCTCGACACAACCGCAATATCCGAGTTTCACACTTGCGAAATCGGTTCCAAACAGCTGATGATTAGGCAAGGAGGACAATTGGCACAAGTCAACGTCATTTCAGCGCCCAAAAGGTGCAAGGACGCCTTGCTGCCTTCAACATCCGGTGTCGTCACCCGTACCGTGGTCCAACCTTATTGCATCGCCACAGACTTGCCAGACAGCGATGGGCAGCAGCTGGGGCCAATCTTGGCAACAGGACATGGCAAGATGTCATTTTTTCAGATGAATCCAGGTTTAACTTATCCTTTGCAGATGGACGTCAACAGATTTATCGACGTAAAGGAGAAAGACTTGCGCCAAACTGTGTCCTTGAATATGATCGTTTTGGAGGGGGTGGTGTCATGATCAGACCACAGACCATCAGAGGCTGCAGACCATCCAACAGCTGTTCCTGAGAAATGTGTGTCTTTCAATGCCCCAAAGACTGCGAGCATGTCTTGCAGCGCACGGTGGACACACACGATATTGACTGCAAGTGACCCCTCCTTTGTTTGATGTCGTTGCGTCACTGATGTTGTTGTTGACTGGACATTTTCAGATGAAAATATTCACAGATGTTCACTTAAAACATATCTGCCAGTTAGGTTTATATATGTTGAAATTAGTGTGAGTAAAGAAAGTATGAATGTCAAATTGCGTTTTTAATGGCTTATAGTATATATTGGTGAGCGTAAAATATTCCTTTTCAGGGACAAATGCAAGCCATATTTGTCAAAAATCTTTTCTACGATTTTATGATAGGCTGTTATTATTATAGTCCCGACTTCTAAAATGCAACTCAAACAATTTGTGGAGTTAGTTACCAGAAGAAATCAGACTCTTTCTCAACAGCAATGAATGCATTAGGAACAGGGCCAATTTTACATGAACAAATTCCCTAGTAGGGTGATACAAATATTTATATGGAATATACTCTTTTCTTACATCGACGTATGCATCACTTATAAATAACAGATAATATTCGTTTTCGATATCCGCAATACAAACAGGGCAAAACAAAATGTTTAGCAAGTGACTGTTTACCATCAGTATTAATCATTATATCTGTCAAACCAAGTCAAAATATTGTAACGGTATTTCTTAGTTTCTTGTCTGTAATGTTTGATAAAAATGTTTTAAATAACTGTTTTAAAGGATATATTTACATCAAATCTATAACTTAAACTAAGGGCTATCATCCAATTCTGACGAAACTTATCATCAGCTCTTTGACGAAATTCTGTCTTAAAATGCCACTAATCCCAACACTTTGGGAAAAGCCACACATATCCAAACCCATACAAAAATATCAGATGCCTTATATCTGATGCCCATGTTATATAAACAAGATTATCTAGATTAAACAACATGTTGTAAGATTTTTGTCCAAAACAATGAAGACCCAAATAAATTAAGGATGGCGGCCAATGTCGTGATGGTTTCCATGCTATCGTTACCTTCGATGTGGCCATGAGTGAGTGAGTGAGGGAGTTAATATTTAACGTCACATCGGCAATATTTCAGCCATATCGTGACGAGAACATATTTGACATTGAAATGGAATATATGTATATTATAAAAACCTGTCGACGAAGGACAGTACAACAACTAGAATATCACAATTAGAATTAAAACTAGCTAGGAAAGTTAAAACTAATAACACTATTTGGACAATACAATATAAAAACAGGCTATAGATCGCCAACAACAGAAGGTAGATCACCATACTAGGAGCCATGGGGATTTACAGTACCTTTGCTACCTGCATGGACCCTAGCTGGATTTACACCATCCCTTCAGCTGCTGGCGATTGTAAGAAATGTTAGCCAAAATTAAAATAACAAGAATACTACGTTTAAAAATCCTGGTAAGTTTAAATTGACTTTGATCATTTTGGGACTTACGTACCCCCTCAGGAGGACGATAATTTTACGATACTTCAACCCCCCTTTAGGGTACAGCCACTAACAATCTGAGTTATTAATTTAAACTTCCAATCTTAAAATATTGATCTATTTACAAATCAGTTAACAAATCTAATTCTTTTTAAAATGCAATAATTAAATGAGAACCAATATCCTTAAAAAGATCCTTCATAGTTGTGATTTCAAAAAGATATCCCTTGCAATGGAATATTCAACACAGTCAAGCAGGACATGCTTGACCGTGATATTTTCATCACAAGGGATGCAAAACGGAGGATCCTCACCTTTCAATAGGTACTCATGAGTATATCCTGTGGCCAATGCGACATCGTCGTATGATGACTCTTCAAATCTGGACTGACAACCCAAGTAGGTGTAACCAATATAAGGTTTTATTGCATGTAATTTATTGATACCTACTTGTGTGTCCCACTTCTTTTTGCATTGATCATGGATGTAAGTTCTAATGCTAGCCTTGTAATCAGAGTAAGGCATAAGAAGTGGTGTCACAGATTTATTGAGTGCTGCCTTGGCAGCAAAATCGGCCATTGTGTTCCCAGAAATGCCAACGTGGCTGGGTAACCAACAGAAGACGATGTCGTATTTGCCAGTAGCAAGATCATTATATAATTCAATAATTCAGATTAAACGTGGATGTTCTCAAGAAAGATTTTTGATAGCCTGAAGGCACGAAAGAGAATCGGAAAAGATTATGTATTGTTTATATTTGCTTGACAACGACATTAGAACCTATGTCGAAACGTCGCCTCCACAGAATAAAAGAAGTTGCATATCCATAATAATTGTCATTATTCTTCATCAACTCGACTTTTAAAATGCCCATCAAAGAAGCATATTTAGGTTGTTTATTAATATATTTTAAGGCTGTTAATATTGCGTTAGCTTCTGCTGTGAAAATAGAGCTGTTATCAGGTAATCTAGAAGATTTTGTTCTGGAGCCAGTGACAAGCTGCTGCGCCACCATCCTTGGACCCATCTGTGAATAAGAATTTGTATGTATTATATTTATTTCTTAATAGACTAAATTCTTCTTATACTGTAATTCATTAGTTTCTGACTTTTTAAATGTGGGTAATGTTAGGTCAACGTGTGGCCTAACCAATTGCCAAGGAGGAGAAGAAAGCAAACGGGAAGGAGAGATATTTTCTAGCTCAATGCCAGCAACAGAAAGGCAAGGTTTGACTCTTAGTCCCAGAGGCGGAACAAGAGAAGACGTTTTATTGCATAGATCCTCATAAAGAGGATTAAAAACACAGTTAAATGCAGGATTTGACTCATTAGAATATAGTTTTGTTACATACTGTAAGGATAATTTTATACGGCGTTGTGTAAGAGATGGCTCATCGGCCTCGACGTAGAGACTGTCAACAGGAGAGGTTCTAAAAGACCCAAGACAAAGTCTTAGACCTTGATG